GGTGAGTCGATGAGTGGGGGACCTGTTTAAGTAGATCGAGTGTGAAGGACCGTGGGAGGGAGAGGGGGAGACAAATTGAGAGAGAGAGAGAGAGAGAGAGAGAGAGCGGGAGATAGAGGGAGATAGAGAGAGAGAGAGAGAGAGAGATAGAGAGAGGGAGAGAGTGTGTGTATATGGGTGAGTGAGACATGTCAGACAGAATTGGAGGGGGACAGGCACATTACCATTTTTCATTCATTATTTTGTCATGATCGTTGCCTTAATGAAGTACTTTTGATGAGAACGTAGACAAAAATACCCAAATTCGTGTCAATTTGGCAAATTAATTGCACTCTTGGATGAATAACACCCGTAACATGTGAATTAATCCGCGCGTTCATGTACGTTTAAGGCAAAAAAAACCCAAACATAATTAGCATATATAGTTTTACAGTGAACAATGTTTGACTTTTTCATTGAGATGCCGACATTAAAAATACCTCAGACAGACTTTTTTACCCGCCCGACTATTTTGGTGATTCGGGGATAATTAAAGTGATTTTCGGTCTCACATGTCGGCCTCGTCCAATCTAAAAACTTAATTGTTTAATCACCATTTATTTATGACATTTTGAAAAACGTGCTTCCCCTCTGCCCTGATGATTTAACATTTAGGTTTTTAGCTAGTCGGTGTGACTGACTTAAATAGGCTATGATAAATAGCAACCGCCGCGTGAGCGGCAGGTTTGACATGCAATTACTAAAAGTGATTGCGTTCTTCAATCAAGAAAAATTGTCCACATTAAGTTAAGTGGCAAATTTAGGACAATTGATATAGCTTTGTATTACTATCATACAAAATACCTGTCAGATTCCAATTTATCTGACGCAAGTTTACTTAAATAGTCAACCCAATGGCATCCCGTTGCCATGACTACCGGGCATGTAACGAGGCGGTATATTGATTGCCCATTATAAATATCATAAACATAAATCGATCCATTTACATGTAACGCATGAAACTAGTCCCCTCGGTATGATTTCCAAGTACCTATAAAATATAGATGATGATAAAATACGGTTATCATCTAAATTATGCAGTCTACTATATTTAATGTTTATACTTTCAACGTTAATTTGTGGTTAACAACGAGAAAATATAACTTTGAAAATACACTTTTGACAGCAACCATAAATATGCCATGAATAGTAAACAAAAGATTGTTTAAGTGCAAATGAAGAACTGTCATTATGCAGTTAGAAAAATGTGACTTTACTATATTTTGCTTCAACTTGGTTGTTTTCGTATTAAAGATTTATTTGATATAAACCAGTACTAAATAATTTGATCAGGTTGAATACGATGAATTTCTATTCAATTCAATGAAAACAATAAATTATGTATTCGTATGACATTCGCCTTGTATCAATCAAATATTAAGATACATTTATATATTTCCCATTATTGTGATTGTTTATTCAAAGCACTAACATTATAAACATGGATTTCTTTATTGCGGATACCAGGTCTCATCAAAATATAAAAGAACTATTGCATTGGTTCCAATAAGGAACATGACAACGTTGATACTTAAATCCACACATAATTGTCTGTATTTTGTTTACTCGATTGCTATGGACATTTCTACCAGTACGGGGAACATAATTAATAAATTCAGCCTGGTTTCCACGCTTATGGATACCAATTCCTCATCCTCTACGAATACAATAGATTTTATGTCTATATTAAAATTGTATCCAACTGTTATGATTATGTAGCAGTGTGTCGTAATGATGCTACTCAATTTGGATGTAATGTTATTCCACACCCAAATTGGTAAATACAGGTACCTGTATAGAAATCGTTAATTGTTACTATTCAAGTGTGAATGATATATGTACTGATCCAAATCAGACTGGTGTCATTGTTTGTTCATACAAATTGGATTTAATGTTTGTTCATAGTTATTCCACACCCAAATTGATATACACGTACCTGTATATAAAATTCTTAATTGTTACTATTCAAGGGTAAATAACGTATGTACTGATCCGAATCAGAGTGGTTTCGATGTTTATTCATACTTAGTTCACAACCGGAATTTAAATTCATTCAGGTGTTTACATAGTGTAACGAACTGATCTAATCTGATTGAATGCTTGCTTTACCAAATCTTCATCCTAAATTTGCCATGTTGATATACAAGATTGTATACAATATTTATTATGTCGTTAATATTCAATGGTAAATAATGTAACTAACTAATCTATTCCAGATTGGTATTAACGAGTCTACACGCTAAATTGATACACGTGAAAATATCATCTATTCTCGTGTTACCATTCCATTTATTGCAAAGATTGTAAACCAACTGACTTAATTCAGAATAGCTTTGTTGTTAACAGGGCCCCATTTCACAAAAATTGTCATCAGTGACACATGACAGTTTTTGTTATGGGCTAGCGAAATCCTAGCTTCTGATTGGTTATCAGCAGGTTTGTCACTGGTTTTTTGTCCTTTGTCATTGTAAAAGGGCTTTGTGAAATGGGTCACAGGTCTACACTGAGCCTACACCTTAAATTGATATATGTGAAAATATAATCTACTTTCTTGTTATCATTCAATTTATTGTAAAGATTGCAGCTAACTGATGTAATTCAGAATTGTTTTATTAATTACCTACACAGAGTCTACATCGGAATTGATATATAGATGTGAAGAATATAAGTTGACACTTTTCAACGGTAAATAATCAAACGAAGTGATTCAAATTCAGATTGTCTTCAATGCTTAGTTGAAATGCATAACCATGGAAACACCTTTTTGTATATGTCAATTATTACCAGCATCTTTGGACTTATTATTATCACAATACAGGCTACATTGGTCGAGCATAGTGCGGATATCAACGCCTAAAGTGATATAATTATGTGTAGAAATGTTTTGTTATTGGGGAAAATATTTAATGTCACTATTATTTACCAGCAAATAGTATAACTACATTTTTGTAACTGATCTGCTTCAGATTAGTTCCAATGTTTAATTGAAATGTACACCAAGAGAAAAAAGCACATGTGATATATGTAGTTATGATGTTGATAATTTCGAGCAATCATCAGTAACATCTTTGCACTATTTTGCGGCTGTTATTAGTTTATATTAGTGGCTTAATTAATCGGGCGAAGTGAGGATGTCAACATCTGAATTTATTATGTGCAGAAGAACTCTTCTATTATTAAACTACTTATGAATAAAAGTTAATATTCAAAAGTAAACAGTGTAACTACATGTACCTGATCCAATTCATATTAGTTTCAATGTAAAATTGAAATGCATAACTATGAAGACATTATTTGTATAGTTATGCTGCTGACAATTTTCGAATGATTAACAGTATCAACGTGGGAATATTTTATGGCTGTTATTAGTTTATATTAAGGGCTAGATTGATCAAGCGTATTGAGGATATCAACGCCTCAAGCGTTAATATCAAAGGTTTTATATTTTCCTATGACGTAAATGATATATTTTTGTATTGCATTCAAGGACGTGCCGTACAAGCCAGTTGGATGGACCAGTAGGTATATTGTTCGGCTGCTAAATGGTAGCACATTTTAATTACTTCCAGATTCGCGCAAATGTGTATCGACACCAATTTTTAGTTCATATAGTGCCTGAAATGTTATGTTATGTCTGTGCTATAATTTTTTGGCTACACCTTTAACTTCAAAATTAAACGTAAAATATCAAAAGTTATCAATTAAAACGTATAGATGCACTTAATCGAAAATGACTTTCTGACACAGTATGGGCACAATACCAATATACATTCCCTTTCCTTTTAAAAGGAAATTATCCCTGTTTGATAAAACGTATAGGTTTTAAATCCTTTCCTCGAAATCATATTTCTTCTGGCTCATATAAAAATGATGTTTGTTCCATGTAAATATAAAAGTTGGGTGGAAAAAGTTCATAAAACCAAAAGGAATACAAGTAGACCTTTTGATCGCACATGTATTTTATGTACCATCTATAAACATGCATTTCAAAATTATTGTTTCACTTGCTCATTTCCCGCAATAATTTTGAATAAACCATATTCATATTCAAAATAATAAGACCAAATAGTGTATCATCATTTAGAAAATATCATTAGTATTTTGTTGAATTATTGACTCGCATCTGAAATGTAAATATTATGTATGATTTTGATTTTCATGTGTAACTTCCCTCTTATAACCACTATTGTGCTCATCCCATGTCTCTATCATTCGCAAATATATTCGATGCAAAAATTCTACTTTGGTTGGTAAACAATAAACATATATTCCAAGCGCCTGCCTACTTATACTTTGCAGTTTGCATCCAAGGATTTTTCCTTTTGTGTAATCTCTATTCTTTGTAGGATAGATTCTACGTCCAAATCCTTGCACTCCATGCACGTTACTCAGTTTGGATAATTCGTATTTCAGACATGTTTTTAGAGATTTTTGCCTTTGAATTCCTTTGTATTCAAACCTAAATTTGCGGCCAAAATGAATAGATGTTTATTTAAAGCGATTCTATTCATATGAAATGAGCGGAATTGATGAATAATCCATCAAATACATATATAACATAGAGCCCTGTTAGGGCACTTATATACTTTACCACAAGTACATATGGAAATAAGGCCCCTGTTAGTATAATGTATGCACTTTGTTGCAAGAGAGACGAGTATTATATACTATGTCTTTTAAACGCTTAAGGTACAGAGCAGTGCATGTTAGTAGAATTTAAAGGTTACGAATAAACTGACATTTTGTCGAATTGAGAAAATTACAACATATATATATTCCGTTTTTGTGTAAATACTATGCACAGTACATAACTTTGCGGGTCTTCGTAGTGAACCGAAAAGAGATAAGCAAGATAGCAATAATCGTATAAGCAAAGAGAGTAATTATAAAATAGGCGTATATGCTCTATTCATTGTAGTTATTTTGAAAAGACACAAAACCACAAAACAGAATGGACTTACCTTGGCCGAAAACTAATCTCAGTCGCAGGCTAAGAAATGTAAGCAGAATATGTATTATATACGAAGCCATCTTATATAGGAGTGCTTTGAACGTCGTCTCACGGAGCTGCTGGAATTGAGTAATGATGACTCTAAATGCATATCCTTGTGGTAGAGCTTGATGTTCCTTTACGAGTGGGCCGTCGCCTGTCTCAATGTACCGTTAGTTTGTTATTGTATTTTAGATGACCCTTTTCGATTCTTCACCCCATTCGTACTGACTCATCGTGCGTTTTCGAACCCGCTATAATCACTACTTCAAATACGAAACCTTATATCCTTTTCTTTTTATCCGCACAACTGAAACATTGAATAGTGGCTTATGCGTGACGTATCAGGCCCATTGTGGCGCACACAATAACCCGCCATGCACGGTTGTTTTTTTGGACCGTCTGGTCGCTTACGAGGTGCGGTCCCTTGCGTAGTCATTTATGTATGTTAATGGGGTGAGATTGAACGGAGAGTGGGTGGGTGTGTCGGTTGTTTCCAAAGTCATTTAATACGGCAATCAATGTGGAACAATGCAAGAGTGCGTTTGACTTCCATGACGATAAAAACCATTGTACGTGAACATGTGAGCGATACGCCCAGAAGGTGACGCAATGTTGTCAGCATTGTGAGAAAACATACATCTTCTTTCTCTCTGAACGCACGAAAAAACGAAGAAAAACATTATTTTTTAATGTAGCTGCATGTGCATACCCAATAGCAATATAATATTTGAAATTTAAGATCTAATAACTTTTCTAAAAAATGTTCTTGTTTTGTTCTGTTAGGGTGAATAAAAAAAAAAAGGACATCAGCATGACCAAGTTGAAAGTCGTTTACTTTAAGACTCTTTCATTTTTTACACAGTTTGTTTCGCAGCAATTGAGGACAATGATGGTCCTCCCTCAAAGTTTGACCATTTTATACATTTTAAATGTACGCCCTTTGATATCCAAAGCAACACAGAAATTATAGCATTTATCCTGTTACTACACCCCCTTGATTACATGTTATACAACGTGTATTTAATTGTATAACTATGAGTTTTTTATTAAAATGATTAGCGAACTACAATATTGAATTAACTTTATATACGTAAGTTACAGAAATCTGTTCATTTACATTCGATTATTTACGTCTGAGGATGAATTTTATCGTCGCCATCATCGAGAAGAAGTGATTCTAGATCGACTCTCCGGTCGTTGCATATTCAAATTAAAGAGCCCAACAAGACGGCAATTAACATCAGCCTAAAGTTTGGGCTTATTCTTACCCCCCCCCCCCATAACATAATTAGGGATCAACGTTAGCTGCCCAGCAATCAAAGTTCAGGAATTGTGTCAACTTGATTGTAGTACATGTAATACGTCATTTCATTTGCGATTAAAAGTTGCATACTGTTGGATGTGCTTTCGTTGCTTGGCGCATTGTAGATCGGTAGCTCTTAATCATTTTCGTCTCACGACCCCATATGAAACTCAAAATCACTGCCATGTTTTATTCGTACGTTTTTATCTCATATCGAAACCGATGCTAGACCGACAACAAACAGAACAAACAATTACATTACCAGGAATGGTCAGAATTGGTCGGTTTGGATTCAGTGTGGAGTCGATTCGGTAGTGTGATTGAGATATTAGCAATGATTGATTGGGACTTCTTTTGGATTTATTGTTATGGGATTTAAGTGAAATATTTAAATGCAAGTCATGCATAGAAGTGTGACAGACAGGGGCTGGATCAGGGGCATATTCAACACTTTATCTACATAATGTTATTAAAATCCTCGGAATATTATGCCATACATTACCGTCTACTTGGCAGAGTATTTCTGATGATTGCATTGGATCGAAGGAAATATCAAGGGAAATGTTACATTCTTCGATGAATAACATTATTTATTCATTCATTTTTCGGTTTATTGAATCGAAATTCCTTGTTAAAACAGTCGGGCGACTGATACAAACAAAGATTACAAAGTTGAAATGTTCAAATATTTAAAGAAAAAAAAACAAATACATCAATATGGAAAAGAATCAAAACTTAGTTCAAGGAAAGAATAACAATACTAATAATGGAAAATTTAATATAATGCACATCATACATTAAATAAATCTAAAATAAATACATGTATGAGTGGGAAAAAAAGAGAAAAGAGAACAAAAACAGATTGCCGGACAAGCGTTTCATTCGCTAAAAATACATCGGACCTTCCAATAGTGTGACATTTTCCGAAATAATTGAACAATACTAACTGCCCAAAATACGTTTCGTCTGACTCTAGATGGCGGTATAATGATTGTATTATAAAAGAAAAGTTGGAGGCGCTTGAACTTGAATCTGTAGAAATTCAGGACGAAAGAGTCCTATTCAAAAGTCAAATTTCGTTGATATCCCATTGTACGTGTGTTATAAGATTACCATGCGTGCAAATGAGATGTCGGTGAGCTTGTACTTTGGGTGATTTCATGAAACTATGCCTAGGATCAGTTTTTTAATCTTAGCTCAAAACTAAAACTATATATTTCATTTCAGCTACCTTTGTATGCTAACGGTATTGAAATTTAATTCATAAAATATCAGCGTTTGCTCCATATTGCAAACGAAGGCGGATTCAGGAATTTCTGTAATGTGCAGGGCCAAATGATTGAACTGCTGGATATTATACTGAAACTCCATAGTGTCAAAATGACACATTTTAATAGCGTCATCATATTTTGGAACTAATACCAATATGAACATTCAATATATCGGAGATTCGGAAGAGAGAAAAAGGAGAAAAAGGAGAAACGATGAGAGAGAGAGAGAGAGAGAGAGAGAGAGAAATAGAGGAAGAGAAAGAGAGAGAGAGAGAGAGAGAGCAAGAGAGAGAAAGATAGAAAGAGAGGTAGAAATAGAGATAGAAAGAATATGAGAGAGAGAGATATATATATATATATATATATATATATATATATATATATATATATATAGAGAGAGCTATAGAGAGATATATAAATAGATAAAGAGATAGATAGAAAGAGAGAGAGAGAGAGAGAGAGAGCGAGAATGCTGAATGATAGAGAATGGACCATAATAATGTGTTTTCATACTTTCAGGATAGAATGAAATAATCATAGTATTACTTTAAAGATGTTTCATTATATATTTCTGTTGTTTCTCATTTTCAAAACAAGTCATGAACCCTATAGTGTTTATTAGTCTAGTTCAACAATAGATAAGCGAAGGCGGCAGTCGCTATTCAACCGACAATACCAAATATTTGCCTCAAACTGAGCTAGTTATTTGCCCAACCCTGAAGAAAAGAAAAAAAAATCCGCTATTCAGTTGTGGCATCACAAATAAATATTCTATCGGTGGAAAATGTATTGTCTCCTTGTAGGATAAGGTTTGGCGATCCCATCTACACGTGAAGTGCATGAGTACATTCAATTTTTAGCTCATAGTAGAAGGCCACATAGTTCTTAAATTACGTGTAAAAAAAGGTGTATCCTTTTAGGGTGTTAGCTATTGGTAGTGCACTAGAGATTGACATATTTGAATATTGCTATTCTGCACTAAAGGGATTCTCTAGTCTACATAGCTTTTCTATACCAGCAGACTGCATTTGATCAATGAGTTTAAGAATGGAGTAGGATATGTGAATAAAAACTCTTCTTGTTACGGTTTTGGATCGTTGGATAGGACAATGGCTGGAGTTTACAAGTTGGTGCATTATGTATCTCTGCTGATTATATCTGAACTTGGATTGAGAGGTAAGAAATAGCGATTTTAGAGCTTGATTTTTCGCCTTATTTATATCATTGTGGCTTTTGTGAGTGTTGTTAATACTCGTCTCGTTTTTATGGCTCGATTGATACTAATAATAGTAAAAGTGGGTTTTTGTATAGCGCTCATATGTCTGTCAGACTTGACACTCCCGGCCCTCCATAATTACCCTGGCTTTGGCATGACTGCCATTATGGCGATCTAGCATTTCATGCAATTAATTGCTGCTATTGTACTACATCGGCTTAACTTGACTCACCTAATTTCGTTAGGGGAGGTCTCACTCTCCACATTAGGGACTTTTAGATTTGCGTGGACTGATATGTGTGACGTCCATTCAAGGCAGTGTATTAAAAGGACGTCGATCGTAGCAATCCACGTAGTCGTTGTGCAAATCTAAAAGTCCCTAATGTCTACAGTGATACGCCCAATTCCAAACAAACGTTTCTTCAGGTTAACACGAAAAGGTGCTGTGGGCGAAATATTGGTTAAATGTGCCAACGGAGTTCTTTACTCTTTTTTTCAGTCTAATCAAACAATATCGTCCGTCTCAGAACTCCATATAATATGAATATACATATTATGTACTAAGTAAACTACAAATCGGGCTGACAATATACAGACGGTTGCGAACAGCTGCAGTATTTACAATAATCATAATAATTACAATAATACTAATACTAATATTAATAATGATAATATTTCCTCTTTCCCTGTTTGTTACTCTCTCACCCTTATTTTCTACCATCCTTATCTTGTCATCCTTCCACTGTTCCTATTTGTTTTGTTTCGTTTTTGTGTGTCCGTCATGTTTATTTGACTCCGTAATATTTCGAAATTCAGCTATGAATGTATCAAGTTTAAATTATTCTTGTGTGAGCCTCAACCTAACAAGCATTGCTTCCAAGTAGGTTCGTTTGTCATTACTTGTAACTAAATCATTTCGCATTACACGACTTACAAAAGCAATGTCAAATATATTTCTATACAAATGTTCTGTTATAATAATGATAATAATAATAATAAATTACATTTATAAAGCGCTTAATGCAATGTTTCTAACCGCTTAACATAACAAGGTACAACGTAAAATAAACATACAGCAGTAATAATACATAATTCTTACAATAACACTACAGATATATAACTATAATGTTACATCATTACGTTTATTATTTTGGTTATCTTGTTTAATATTGTTTGTATTATGTGGAAAATAAAATAAATTCGCTCTGCATAGAGCGAATACTACTTCTGATATTAATATTATGAATAATAATGATATTGATATCAATAATACTATTTATAATATCTATAAGGATAGTCATTACTATATAGATAATATTAATAATAATCAGGTCAGTTCAGTTCAGTTTATTTTATTTGTGCACGGCACCCACTTCAGCCAAAGGCTGTTATTCCGCAGGTCCGTGTAGAATAAAAATACATGTACATTTATAAGATAACACATATCATAAAATACACATATTAAATATTTTGACAATAATAATAACATAACAATAACAGTAATAATAATGATAATAATAATGATATTAATAATAGTAAAAACACCTATATAGTAATAATGATTATTACATAACAACCACCTTTAAAATACCAGCTGAAATTCACCGCCCATAGCGGCAGTACAATTACTTCCCAAGCCTGTGAAAATCTCATTAATATTGTTAATATTATAGTCAATATACTGACTATGCAAAAGGTCTTCTAGTATTGAGTTTATTGCTTGTCTGTGTCGTATCCATTTTACCATGTTTACAGGTCAGTAACTTTAATCCAGTCTGAAAAACCTGGTGAAGATTTATTATCTGTCAGCTTTGAAAACAAAAAATATTTCAGAAGGTCGTGTGGTTTTTTTTGTTTGTATTTACTGATTTCTTGAAATGAATTGGAATGCAGGCCTTTGGGGAATTTTCTTCTCCATTGCGGGGTCAAAGCTGTAGAGAAAATAAAACAGCAACCATAAACAAACAAACAAGCAAAGAAAAAATCCCACATATTACCAAGTTCAAGTGAGCTTCTTTTAACAGTAAGAATTATGAGAAGTTACGTACAGTATAACGTACAGTGATTATATTGAACATTAAAAACATATTTTAGCTATACAAGTTCCTACAGGTAATACAGGTAACAGGTAACCAAACTTACAAATGAAATGTCGCATCCGTATAACATAACGAGTGCCAAAGGTTGCAATTAAATACCATAATGCAGCAAGCTCGTCACGTACAAAAGATCATATTGATAGCAAGACGGAAATCCTTTACTCTTCTCTCTCGTCTCTCCCTTCAGTTTAACTGGTAGTATCCTTGTATAAGTGCTTGTTTATGTTGTGGGTGGGGTTCATTAATTAATTTGAGTCTACCCCTTAAAGGTACTATGTCCCATTTGCAGGCCAAAAAAAAAAAAAAAAAGTTAAATTCCAACCGCATTTGAAAGATAATACTAATTTAGAACTTCCCTAAAAAGGTGAGGCTTGAAAATGTCTTCAAGTGGGGGAAACAACGACTATTAGTTGTCAAATCGACTCTAGGGCTATAGAGCCAAAAAGTAATAGTCTTGATTTTCAGACAATTGTACTGAATGGTCATAAGTTTCATGCTGCGCAAAGATTCAATCTGTTTAATCTTGGCCATCACAAGAAGTGGGTTATTGATGTAGACAAATGCTTATGTACCCTTTACAACTCTTTTCATGTATGTTATTACCAAAGAAGAAAAAAGCCAGTCAGTCACTCAATAGTGTCTGACAGTGAAGTCTAGCAAGTAAACGGGTTTCCTTGCATAATTTGAATATGAGGACACTGCTAACGTTTAAATGTCACAGATAGGACATACATGACATATTCATAATTCCTGCAAAGTTCTACGGCATTTGAGGTTGGCTGCAAAAGGGACATAGTACCTTTAATATTTCTTCATGATTAAATATTTTTGTTTTAAATGTTTTTTTTTTCTTCTTGTATATATGACTCGTTTTTTTTTGTAATTTAAATGGCATTGTTCACGCGATAGTAGCTACTTTCCAAAAATCAACCTGAGTCGATTAGCCTTGTGCTTCAGTTATTGGATCTTTTGCGTTTGAAACTTTCACAATGAAGTATTACATTATTTGATTATGATTTCTATGGAAAACACGAAAGGGTATTGAATTTGCCCTGAAGTTATTTTATCGAAAACAGTTCGGATAGTACCTGTTATGGCATATATATTGTAATTGTTGTCATATATATTTTCACATATTATTCATGTTTTACTGTAGTTGTTTCAAGCAAGGGGAGGGTAATGTGTGAAAATTGTTGCATGTTCCTCCATTGCTCGCTTGTATAAGAATATCTACAATGTGTCAGTCAGTATGACTGTATGTTCCGCCCTTAATCTGCTATTTGTAGGGCTATTTACGGTCCATTTACCCTTTTCATCCATCGGATTCCAATCATTTTTATGACATTCAAAACTTTGAGTTGAGTCAGCGTACTTTATTGAAAAATGCATAGTGCAAAATTTCATCGTAACGAGCCTTTTGTTGGTCTTTTCATGGAGACAAAGTGTACCATGTGTTGACAATTGAACGATAAGCCGTTATCAAACAGCATACTCTTTGTTACTTTGTTTGTTTGCACCACTCTCCTTTTGGAAAAAGGAAAGCAAAGGTGAAAGATCCGTTTTTCTTTATTTTCCCTTTTTCATTCCGGTAATCAGTGATATATTTTCAATTTTCCACTCAGTTAAAGTTTCGTAGAAATTGCATGAGTTATTACATACTCGTAAAAGTATCTACCATTTTGAAAAGCCGGTAGCTTGAGATAACAGGGGTATCTATAGCACAAGAGGGAAACGAAGAGACAAAATCAACATACCGAAAATAATACTAAATACAACACTATAAACAATTACAATACATATGGTACATAACAAGGTCAGTTTTATCACAATCTAGTATCTGAAGGTTGCCATTAATAAATAGCCATACAAATTATATCAATTCATTTAGCGCAGCTACGAAAAGAAAATCCTAAAAGTGCTATTTTTCAGACACACAATAACAATAATTTAATAACACTATTTAATGAAGGAATTCCTATCGTATGTTTAATTTAATTAGCCTGTACTCATTTGTTTATTTATTTACTACCCATTGTTTCTTTTCTCTGTACTTTGTATTATTATCTGAGGACACTGGAGCCCAGCCTTTGAAATGGAAATAAAATGAACTTGAACAACAAATAAATAAAATCTTCTGAAAACAAGTCGTTAACAAAACTTTCTAGACAGCAACAGACGAGACTTTTATATGTCAAGTGATAGGTTTTTCCAAAGATTTGTACCATAGGCACGAGGCAAGAAAATGCAGCTTGATTTTTGTTTTCAAAAGAACAAGAGAAACTGAAATTTCAGATCTTATGATGGCAGGTTTGATACCAATGTCCTCTTTTCATTGTTCATTACCATTTTATCGGGGGCATCGTGATATATTAGGGTTAAAACGCCCTTGACTGTCATACGATAGGTCTCAGGTTTGATCCTGCTTGGAGCTTACATCCTTGGACTTGGTCTTTAGTTCACATTTGTCCCTCCAGACCCAAGTGTACTAAATGGGTACCGTGCAATGCTGTGGTAATAATAACTGCAGAGACCACACAAGAGAGCAGTATTGATCTTATTTATTTTCATGAACTAATTTTGACAACATGATTTATTCTTGATATATAGTGTTTATCACTGTCTCGGAAATGTAGTGATCTATCTAAATAGTCATATAGATTGACCTATAAAGTTCTGAGAAGATCCTCACGTCATCTATCAAAAATAAACCATGTTGTCACGATCATGTCATGAAAAGAGGTTATTATACCAACTTAATTGGCAGCAGTATGTACTCATTTATATATAATCTATGATGTGCTTCCAAAATAACTGGCAGGTATGAAATCGTATCCTCTTTGCATTCTTTTAAATGCTTCCACTTAATACAGTTCATGCTACCTGCAACGTCCCCGCCCCAGTATCAGGCACTCATCACAACGGCACCCTGGCGGTCTACCAGCCTGGAGCGGTCCTCTCCTTCTCCTGTGACACTGGCTACTCTGCAAACTTTAAACCACCTACAATTACCTGTCTGGACAACGGCTGGAATCCAGCGAATATCTATTGTGAACTAAGTAAGTAATTCCAAACAACCAAGAATAAGAAGAACAGGAGGAGAATGAAGGAAGCAAAGTTTCAAAAGTATATTTTATCGTAAAAGGGAGTACATCTTGGAGGTACATAAATGTTCAGTCGATTTTTCTACTTAATTTATACCATCATTGTCAAATTACGTGTATATGTTTATATCTTTTAGATACCACATCACTGGTCATCGCTATTATAGTTGCCTTTGTCGCCCTCTTTGTATTCGTGGTTATCATTATACTTTTGGTGAGAAGAAAGTAAGTCACTTTAATTGCTCGTTCCTGTTTTTGATATTGCTCTTTATCAATTATTCTGATACTTTTACAGGTAATGGTTTTTACCTCTTCATTTTCTTCTTCTTCTTCTACAGCAACAACAACAACAACAACAACAACTACTACTACTACTACTACTACTACTACTACTATTACTACTATTACTTCTACTACTATTGCTACTACTACTACTACTACTACTACTACTATTACTTCTACTACTACTACTACTACTACTACTACTACTACTACTACTACTACTACTTCTATTACTTCTACTCCTTAAACTACTATCATTTGATTATGATACTTGTCCAATGGAAACGTGCTTTATTGATGTATAAAGAATATTGAAAATCGATTAATAGCATAGCCATTATATTTTGGTAATACAAAGTAATCGGCAATCCATTGATAACGATAGATCCAAGGAGCAGTGGTAATCCAATTTTGTGAGACTTTCTAAAAGACCTCTTCACTTGAAATAACACATGGCAGATACTATTAATTAACTTAAAAAAATATATATATATTTGTTTTCCTTCAGGCGACGTCAAACACAGGCTGCATCCCCGAAGATAATCAGAAGAAGTCCCAAGTTTCCAGAGCACCCTCCAGAAAACATCGAAATGTCCAGACCAGGATCGTTGTACGACTCTGTCAAACTCATCCCCGAAAGGACAGACCAACGCGGTATTTACGACTCCCTCACCGGCCTGGATGGAATCAAGGAACAAGCCTTTGATGATGCCTCCAGAGGACTGGAGAATCCTGGTCTTGTTGACAACAGCGGTATCGATATCATCAATGCTGGCGGACTCAATATGACAGGAGCACGCGCGGCTGATAGTAGTCGGTCACACGATTATGAAAATACGAAGATCGACAGTGAGAAGGCCGGAGTGGGAAGCCACCCCTATGAAAATACAGCATTACCGAACTCTAAAAAACTGTTTCACTAGATTTCAAGAATAAATCACTATGACTTAAACACGTATATTACAAGCAAAGTACACAGTGTTTCACTCAGGAGCGGTAGTTGGGTGCCGCCTGATGAAACCTTTCATAAATCCTTTCTGAACTCTCGAAGAAAGGTCAACGAGGTTTCAAATGTAAGCAAGAGTGAATATTCATGAATCATGGACGCATTTTATATGCAAAGTATACAGTTTTTTTTCGTAGGTTACCCTCCTCAACAAAGCGCCATGAGGCCGGCGTGGGGAGCCGTAAATACAGTCTTATCGAACTCTAAAACAATGATTGTACTCGGAATATCTGAAAGATGGTCGCATAGACTTTCAAGTTATTACATCTTAGGACGACCTATTTAAAGTAACATATAGCATAACTTGTATATGTAATATCGTTAAAAGAAGTATTCATGGCAGCATAGAACATCAATTATATAAATATGTCAATATATATATATATAAAGATAAAAAACAAGATGATTCAACCCCTTGTAAAGTTGATGCTTTTTCGGGTTTTCGTAACTTAATAGTGAAATGTGGACTAGTTGAATTAGCAGCTTTGTTTTATACTTTTAGTTGTAAGCTTTGATATGTCGCATTCTCAAGAAACGGTGGTCGTGATGAGACCAAAACTTGGAAGCATGTTTGGAATGTCATCATGATACTTATGACAGAGTCAGGTGCATGAATATATTATGGTACCGTTCAGTAGTAGGTCCATGGTACAACATATGTTTGAATATATATGTACAGTTAACAACTGAATTATTCATACTCCTTGAAAATTGTATGTTTTTAATGTGTTTCGTTACTCAAGAATGAAAGGTGAGCTTGTAGATTTAGCTCCTCTGTTGAATACTTTTAGGTTTAATATGCCATATTCTCAAGAAACGTCAATCGGGAGAGATCACTTTCACATACATGTACGTAATGGTGACAAAACTTGGTATGGATTTTAATGATTTGGTTGTTAAATGTGCATGTATATTTTTTTAAAGATGCAAGGGCGATCCAACTTCACAGGTTTTCGCAACCTTCATGGAAAGCCCCGCATATAACCTTTGTAAACATAGTTAAAATTTACTGTTACTTTGTATATTTTGATTTTTATATTGCGAAATAAAATTGAATTGAATTGAATTACCAAAGCCGATTGTAAGCAACTCGCTAATCTGTGGTTTTACTATCAATACTTTACAATTATATATATACATGTATGTATAACCAAAATCTAATGTTAACATCTGAAAGCTATATATTGTAAAATAGAAATTATTTTGATAGTTTATGAAGATAGAATGAAAATCTCCTGTACGCAGCAATTATATTAAATGCAAAGATTTATATAACAATTACTTTTGTGTTGTAGTTTACATCTACCCAATGCATTAGACGCTATTATAAAGCAGTTCATTCACCCGACTCTTAATCCTAGGTGGAATGTTTAAATTTCAGCCAGACAGTAACATTCTTTGGCAAAACAGTAATCCACGTTTGCCACTCTTAACCCAGGTGTACATTGGACGCCTATAGTAGGGTATGAAAGCAATAATAGTTTGCTCAACGTTGTGAGCGTTTGTAAAATGGCGCCAGGCTTCCTAGGTTGTGGGGAATATGCATATCCTGTATGTATGCGGCAAGTCTTAAATACCAAGCAAAATCATCATGATTATGATTACTTATAAATTAAGTAATGTACTACCCCCTCCCATCATGCATCACAAACCCATCAAATCACCTATCAAATAATAATAACATCAATCTATAATAATTCTATTTGCTTATATAGCGCCTAACATTTACTTTATCAGAAGTCTCTAAGCGCTCTACAATAATGCAGCATAATTACCCTGGCTTTAGCAGTGCAGCTGTTACTCTTCTGCTCTGTGATGAAAAATATTAATTGATCAATCAATCAATTAACTATCAATTAAAATTATACGCCACCCACCCATTTTATGTCAAAATATTCAATTTATTTTCCAAAGACAGTTTCCGTTACCAAGATTCCAAACAATAATTTTCTCATTTTCTACAGCTATGGAAGGGATTTCTTGCTAAAAACTAATGAAAGTAGGCATGCATATGATAATTTGTTATCATCAAAATTTAATCAAATATTGTCAACGAATGCGATGAATAGCTATTGATAACATGTGAAAAATTGCCAGAAAGCATTGATAAATTCATCGTAATAACAATATTTATTTCTTAAATGCTTTTAGAGCATGAGGCAACTGCCCTAAAGCCAGGGTAATAGTAGTACTTTGTAAACGATTAAGGCAACACTTGGGATTGCTACGTGCGCACGATACATGTAGCTATTCGTAATATGATATATGAGTAATTGGAAAATTAAATACTTTCTAACTTCAGCTAAATAGTTTAAACATATAAATATTTGCTTCATAGGCCTAAAAAGAAAGCTGATATACTAACAATGCAAAAATAGATACATAATAAGATAATAAGGTAGGGTTTAGGACACAGTGTATAAATCACAAGGAAGCATTCAGTTTTAAAAGCAGATAATAATTTTACATTTTATTAAAATAAAAAATATCACATTTGACATACACAAGTTCATTTTGATGTGTAGTTACATCAAACCACAATACATTATTATGATAAATACATACAATAATATATATTTCAAATCTAATACATACAGAACTGCGGGGAACATACACGAATATGCATTACAAAATAAAAAAGAAAGAATAAAATATGATTCATGAAGTGCACACAGCAGGAACACAGAATGACTAAATTTAACAAGCTCATTTCAAGGTCTATTTTTTGTTTTTTCATTCATTGACTCCCAACTGTCAAATTTTTATCCCAATGAATCCCTTTTTAATTGTTTACACTTATTATTAATAAGTATACATCATGTTCTTTTATTTCTACGTTCTAAACTTTGGCAAGACCAATTTTTTTTTTTTTTACAGTACTGCAGTTTAATAGGCAACGCGACATACCTGTAGATTCCTTTAAATATTAACAAATAAGAAAGATAAGTGGTACAATGGTATTTCAAATCTATACTAAATCATGAAGGGGTGAGGGGGATAACACATACTACATGGATGAACATAAGTCCTTCAGAACATGTAATCAAAATTTAGAACGAATACATCATACATATTTGTCTTAGAAAACAGCAAAAACTATAAAGAATTTGTTTGTTTTCCTTCTTAGTATTCTTTTGCTGAAAGAACCGATTGATATAGAAATTTAAATATTTCTTTCTTATACTTTAATAAAAAGTTTTCTCGTACGAAATACCTAAGCCGAATATTGCATACCGACTAAATAAAGACCATCAAACTTAAATTGTAACTTTCACCCTGGTAATAGTAGATTCTATCCGTGTTCAATTCTCCCGGTTTCAACATTCTATCCAAAGGCACAACGATTAAAATATGGCATTTGTTGACGCCAATAATTTGTAAGACTCAAGGATGGCTAATGTTACGTGATGGGTTTCCTCTACCCGTTGTCCCTGGGTCCTTTGTTCCACAACAACAGAATACACAACACAAAGTGGTTAGATTTCAAGGGCTGATCTTCATTATTGAGCTTCGTTCTTCAACTCCAAATACTAGACTAACTCGTCCTGAGGACGGTCCGTACAATGTATCTAGATTCGGTCGATACACCCATCACACTCCCCCTCATAAATTAGCACTTATACCAGTAGGAGAAGTGCTATAAAAACATTTCTTTTTCAATGTTGTTTCAGCAACTGCTGTAAGAATACAAAAACCTGAAAGTATTTATAAGTATGAGGTCTTTGTAGATTTAGAAATCTGATAAACAAGTCAGCTTGTAAAACTATACAGTACCAGCATGCAAATGGTATCACAGCGTTGTCTAGTGGTTTCCGTTCATACAATAAAATTGAGTATGAACAGCTATAAGTAAAAACATTAACCATTCTTTTATCATCCTGCTCTATCATCTTCATCGCTGACTTTTGCATATATCAAAAGTCATTTGTACTTAACATAAAACAAAATACAATTCAAATCGCAGAGAAGTTCACCTTAAATGACCTATCAATATTAATATGTCTTCATGCTTCTTCGCAAGTTTGAATCTAAACATATTTCTTTGCATAAAAATAATACTAAACAAACTCCAGCAACATTAAACCTGTCTGAAAGATAATATAATATAGCCTTCACGTCAGTTGTAAAAACATGTTACTATTAATCTGAAGTTTTGCATTGTAGTGTAAAACCATATCATCTGTGTTGGTTGAGTATTGAATATTTTCAAGAATAACTTTGATTACTTTATATCCATAACCAAAAATATGGTAAGCCACCAAAATACTTTTTGTTCCAAAGTTCCTTCTTTTAATATATTTATCCTGCCTTGGATAAAACATATAAATCAATTTACTGTTTCTATTTTCATATATAAACATGCACAGACAAAATGATGACTCACTAGGCTTTCTAGTTCCTTGTGTTTGTACCAAAAGGGTTTTAACACAATAATATTATCATGCATGTTCAAATTCGTCAACGAATACGATAAGCATATCACATACATATATACACTGGTTTACAGACATCTGGAAAGCAAACATAAGAAAAATACATTTTTCTGTGAGTCCAATAAACAGTTTCAATGAGTCCAATCAGTCTATGTTCACAATGCTTTGTGATTATTAAAGAAACCATCAAAGTTAAAAGTTCTGGTTTCCTTTCTCACATAGAATTCCAATGAATTCACCAAAGTTCAACTGTTCAATTATATGATGCTTCACTGTAAGTGTTCAACTGTTCACGAAATATGGTTCACACAAGGGTTGTTCACTTTTCCATGTAAATATATCAATTTGATGCTCACTTCAGTCCAAAGATCAAACACGAGATAAAGCGTCCGCGATAACATTGTCCTTTCCTGGCACATGTAGAATGTCCAAGTTGTATTCTTGGAGAAGCAAACTCCATCGCGTCAGTCTTTGGTTCTTGTTTTTCATTCTGTTGAGGAATGTCAGGGGGTTATGATCAGTTAGTACCCTGACTGGATGTTGAGATCCACTGACATACACGTCAAAATGTTCAAGTGCAAGTATCAAAGTCAATGTTTCTTTTTCCACAGTTTCTTTGAGAAGAATGATATGGGTCTGTCGATACCTTCAGCGTCTGCTTGAGTAAGAACTGCACCAGCACCCACATCGCTCGCGTCCACCATCATGCTGAACGGCTGGTTGAAATCCAGAGCCATCAGTACCGGATTGGTAGATAAGAGGGCTTTCGCCTGGTTGAAAGCACTCTCGCAGTCGATTTCCTTTTCAAGATTTTTCAGTTTTGTTGGGTTTGCACGATATGGTGCCTGTTTGATTGGGGTCATATCTCCCACACCTACATCATGCTTAACAACATCAGTTCGAGAGGGAACATCAGCAAATAACTGTGGATATGCACTCAACAGCTCTTTCACGTCGCTCCTCTCCTTCACAGATAAGTGTGTTAGTTTGTTATTGATGTGTGCTAGAACCTCTGAATTTTTCAATTTCACACATGGGTTCTCTCTCTCAATCTTGCACACTTCTTTCTCAACTTCACACTTTGAGTCACATTCAACAGCACTCAACACTGGTTGTGCTTTACTCTCGTCATCTCTTCGGATATATGGTTTAAGCATATTCACATGACACACACGTCTCTTCTTCTGCCTATCTGGAGTATTGACAACGTAGTCGACATCACCAACTCTCTTAGCAATAGTGTACGGCCCAGAAAATCTAGCCTGCAGAGAATGACCAACTATCGGCAGTAAGACCAAGACTTCATCTCCTACCTCGAAATTCCTCTCTTTTGATTTCCTGTCATACCATGACTTCATCTTCTCCTGAGAATCTGACAAATTCTGTCTGGCAACCTCCCACGCCTTATGCATTCTCTCACGGAAAGTACTCACATACTCCAACACATTTGTTTGTGAATCATCACACAACAGTCTCTCTTTTAGCAACTTCAATGGTCCACGTACTGAGTGACCGTATACCAACTCAAAAGAACTGAAACCAAGCGACTCTTGTACAGCATCCCGCACAGCAAACAATAACAAGGGAACTCCCTCATCCCATTGTTTCTCTGACTCCATACAATAAGTTTTCAACATATCCTTCAAAGTCTGGTGGAATCTCTCCAGTGCTCCCTGGGACTCTGGGTGGTATGCACTCGAAACTACATGTTTTACGCCCAGTTCCGTCAACACCTGATTGAACACCCTAGACATGAAATTTGACCCTTGATCAGATTGTACAGTTGTTGGTAGCCCTACAGTAGTGAAAAATTTCACTAACGCCTTTGTCACATTATTCGCTGTAATGCGCCGCAGTGGTATCGCTTCGGTATATCTCGTCGCAGCGCACATTATCGTCAATAAGTATTCATTACCTGCCTTAGTCTTTGGCAGAGGACCTACACAATCTACTATGATCCTAGAAAATGGCTCATCGAACGCCGGTATTGGCTTCAATGGTGCTGCCGGTATTTTCTGATTCGGTTTACCTACAACTTGACATGCATGGCAACTTCTGCAAAAATTTGCAACATCTTTTTGCACACCTGGCCAAAAGAAATGAGAAAGAATTTTCTCCTGGGTTTTGTGAACCCCTAAGTGACCTGCAAGTGGAGCTTCATGAGCAAGGCTAATTATGTCCTGCCTGTATGTAGAAGGGACTACAATTTGGTGGACTTCTTTCCACACCTCATCTGCAGGGACATCTGCTGGCCTCCACTTTCTCATTAGCACACCTGCTTTCTTGTAATAACAAACAGGCACAGTCAATGCCTCCTCCTCAGAAACAGCTCTCTCATTCAAAGAAATCAACTGAGGATCTGTCTGTTGCTCCTTTAGCAACTTACTCTTTTTCAAAGATAGTGGTTCAGATTTTTCACCATTTCCTACGCTATGAACTTTTCTCGCACTCTCATTCACATTGGAATCAGACTCATCCTCAACCAAACGACAAAAGAAAGAATCTCCTAAGTCAACATCTATCTCATTAGACTTCTTCTCTGACTCAACTTTCTTAGCCATTGAACGAGTTACAGCACATGCTGGGAACACAACAGGAAATTCTGCAACCAACTCATCTGTCTCAGAACTTTCACAAGGACTAGAACTTACTACTGGACATGACACGACTCTATCACCGGCGAGATCATTACCTAATATGATGGATACCTCTTCCACAGGAAGTGATGGTCTAACTGCCATCTTCACCATACCAGAAACAAGGTCTGACTTCAAGTCTACCACATGAAGGGGTGCTTCCACAAAGCCGTCTCCAATGCCTTTGAGCAAAACACTAGCACCAACAGAAGAACCATCACAAAAGGGCAACGCACTTTCCAAAATCAAGGACTGAGAAGCACCAGTATCCCGCAACACTTTCACTTTTTTTGCTACATCACTCTCTGCTACAGATACATATCCTACAGACACAAACGGTTCATACTCTTTCTGAATTTTTTCCATGTTCGCTGGTACAATTCTACTTTGTGAGTTTGACACAATTTGTACGAATGCATTAGGATGTGCACTACCTTCCTTTCTCTTATCTTGAAGTGAAGGACACTTTGACTTTATGTGCCCATACTGTTTGCAAGCATAGCACATTCTTTCCTCTGTTACCTGTCCTTGCTGGGACTGCGGTTTGATTTCATCTTGTGATGAACTAGTTTTCTGGCTTTTGCTCCAGTTTCCTTTTTTCTTAGGTTCTACGCTCACTTTGTTTGAGATTTTGTGTGTGAGCACATAATCATCAGCAATTCTTGCTGCTTCATCCAGCGAATCGACGCGCTGCTCCTCGAGATGTATACAAACATCCAGTCGAACGCTGCGCTTGAATTCCTCAAGCAGAAGAATTTCACGCAGTTTATCATAATCATGATCTACATGGAGAGACGAGCTCCATCTGTCAAACAATTGCTCTTTTTGTTTTGAAAACTCCACATGAGTTTGCAATTCTTCCTTTCGCGCTGTGCGAAATCGCTGCCTGTACGCTTCGGGTACAAGTTCGTAAGCTTTTAGCACGCCCGATTTTACTTTATCGTAATCCGACACGTCGGCCATCGACATTGCTAAGTAGGCATCCCTAGCCTTACCGCTAAACTTACTCTGAATCAGGTGAGCCCACATTTCCCTAGGCCACCCCATGCTTTGAGCTAATTTCTCAAAGTGTGGAAAGTACTTTTCCACCCCTTCCTCTTTGAATGGAGGGACCATCCTGACATGCTTTGCAACGTCAAAATGCCTATCAGCATTTCTGCTCTCTTTTCTGTTCACGGCAACAAGTTTTTCTCTCTCCAACTCTACTCTCGCCCTCTCTAATTCCAACTCCTTTATCCTCACTTCATCAGAAACAGAAGACCTACGCTGAGAATTTAATTCAGGAGACCGAGACCTAGACCCTGGAGGAGTCACAATGATACTACCTGCCACCTCTGAAGACAATACCTCTTCAGCCACCAGAAACTCGACAATCCTATTCAAAATGTCCGACTTTAGCAAATAACGTTTAATGCCAACAACCTCATAATGAGCTGCTACATCCAACAATTCAACTTTAGTCAATGAGCTTAATCGCTCCGCAGACGGATCCCTAACAAACTCTCCCAACGAGAATTCGCTAGCCATCATGCAAAAAACCTAGCCTCCTAAATAACCTAGAAAGAACTAGAGCCTGGCTGTTATAATTCCCAGCCAACCTTAAAACACCTAGATTCTACAATATCCGAGAAATCTAGACAACCTGACTGTTATAACCCTCAGTCAAACCCCGCAAATCCATGCAGAAACATGAGAAGACAACAATGTTTTTCTCACAACACATTCACACCACGAATGCCTGAACCTGAAACGGCTACCCCAGCGGTGCCCGACGATATCATCTTAACGAACCGACATCGACAACACACACACAGTACACACCGAACAGTCCGCTCATAAGTAACGTGTATGAAACTCGTCGCACGCAATGTAATGCAACATGCCAGCGCTAGTAATATGATCACAAAAATCACCTGAAAATCATACTTTTCACTTTATGTACCTGGCCGAGCCCCCATTTGTTACGTGAGGTGGGTTTCCTCTACCCGTTGTCCCTGGGTCCTTTGTTCCACAACAACAGAATACACAACACAAAGTGGTTAGATTTCAAGGGCTGATCTTCATTATTGAGCTTCGTTCTTCAACTCCAAATACTAGACTAACTCGTCCTGAGGACGGTCCGTACAATGTATCTAGATTCGGTCGATACACCCATCACACTAAACATACCCCCCCCCCTCTCTCTCTCCTTATCTCTGGATTCATCGGCTGTTCATTTGATTAGTTGGTTGGTTGGTTTTACCTTACTGATAAGAAAGCGTGTGCATGATTGCATAGTAAGCAACCAGGGGACCAACGGCTTTAAGTCCTCTCCGAGGGAATTGGTAATGGGGATCATTGCCTTACCAAAGGGCCCTAGAGCATCGGCTGAGCTTCGAACCCGGGACCTCCCGGTAACTAGGTAACTGCTTTACCATTGAGCAACTGCGCCTCCTCATTTCGTGTATTCATTGAGTTACAGTGATACGTAGAGATTTAAAAGCTGGACCCCGTTCATACTTGACGCTCCATAAATCAACGGACTATAATATTATACAATGTTGGTCCACCTTTTATCTGTTATCATGTTTACGAGTTCCAGCCAGGGAGAGAAGAAGCACAGAAGCCGTGTGTTACCCAGATGATAAGGTCCTTGCCTCTCTCCATAAATGGACGCGTACCTCGTGCTCCGCAGAATGACGAAATCTTTCCAGCCTGGGACATCACACCCTAGTCATGGATACTGGGGCGCTTCCCTAAAGTAAGTGACACATTTAATCAGTAACATATCTTCCTTTCGTTAAAAAGTCGATATTTTTAAATTAAGCAATTAAACAAAAAAGAGAATGAACTTACAAAAGCATACAAATACAAACACTTTGTATTGCATTCATATTTAATTTGCCTTCAGCCATGTCAATGGTTTGGAATCCTTTGGGCATATATTCGCCCAAATATTAATTCTTAACAATTTATTATTGAATCCTCTGTTCAACTCCGAATACAAAAATGATATACAATTCTTGAAATAATAACCTTTTGCGTATACTCCAGTATAAAGTGAATAAACTTGGCACATGTTTTTTTCCACAAGTATATATATGAAATATATAAATTATTGAAAGTAAATAGCAATTGCCACCCCCACAAATATTCTGGTTCATTTACAAGATTCCCTTTACCTTTAGCTACAAATACTAAATAAATATACACTGAAAATAAAAATTGGTCATTCCAGTAGAAAATAATCTTATTTCGACACAATACACACATAGTTATATAAATATCTTAATCCCATTAACAAGTAGAGGCGTTGACTTATCAAGCATGTTAAGTGCAACTCGTGAATATAAGTATACTTACAAAAAATCATTATTCGTATAAAACAGATTAAAAAATATATTTACATGCTGAATGAAATAATTAATAACAAGTTTGATTGATAATGTGAATCTATTGTTCCAAGGTACCACAATTACACTTTTTAAATTTACCATGCTAGTTTTTATGTCATTCATTGTTAATGATAAAATGGATTAGGTATATCATTCTAAAAGTACTGTTTTGAGTTGTGTGGTTTTCTAAGAACATCAATGATACCTGTTAGTTAAAACCTTGAATAGATAATAACCGTATGAAAGGATATAGTTACAAGACCCGAAATCGTTTCCTATTCCTTGTTTTAATAATTAAAACAAAAAATCATCGTTACAAGTTGAATGAAAAAGTTTCGAAATAACATGACAAATTTTAAAAAGCAATTTTAATTGCGTTCTGAAATATCCTTGTATACATCTATTATATACAAAAATTCGATTGTCTGTATTATATCTAAACACATCAATTGTACATTCAGTCATAAAATTAAATTCAGCTTAATTCCGTAAAAGAAAAAAAATGTCTGTACGCCGTCTCTTTCTTTTTAAATACAGTGACTTTCCCAAATATAAAATCAAGGGGAAAGGGGGAGGGGGAGTGAGACAGTGCAGTTAATAGATGCCCTGATCACATTTGAAAAGTAAGTCACTAGATTGAAGAGACCGTTTCTTATTGGAATAAGATCAAAGTAAACCATAAAGATTTCCTAAAATACTCCCAATTAATCCCAATTATACACGATTCTAGAAACACATGTAACATTTGTTCCCGATGCTAAATAATCGTAAAGGGTACAGAAAAGTGTCTTAAAACGTAAGTTTGTATTAAGTTAAATCAGATTAAATGTTATGATCTTTAGTAGAGAACTTCTTCGTTTTGGAGAACAGAAGAAGGCTGTTCCGCGTTCGAATCGTCCACAGGATTCTATTAAAGAAAGAGAATGTGAACATTAGAGATAGTTTCACGAGTAACATAAGGGTGGAAAGTATTAAATCTGGTTAAATATTAAGAAAACCACTAAGAGGCTGACCAGGTTACACCGTTATGTAGGTTAATTGAAAAGTTAAGACCTGAGTATAACAAAGAGATACATTCTCTCAAAAGTTAATAATAGGACTTGATTTGTGTCGTGTTGAAATAATTAGTTTACTACATTGATTGGTTCACACAGCTAATAAAGCACAATTTCATGGATTTCCAAATCCAGATCTTAGGAAAAGTCCCCATAAGTTAGTCAAGGTTTGTATAACAAAAGTCATACTCACAATATACTCCCTTTTTTAATAATTAGAATAAAAGAACACTCTTTTGTATTAATAAGTATTACCATGTTTACAGACCCTTATACATATAATCAGGTTACCTGTTAGCATCTTTCGTTTGCTATGTAAATGTCATTGTTACTTAAGTGATGAAGACATTAGAAATAGAAGGAAAACAAAATTAGGGGATGTTTACGTCCAATATGTTCTTGATGAAAGTATATCAAAGTAAAAATGGTATGATATTGATGTATAGAGAATGACAATAGAAATAATGATGATGAAAAGGATTGTTGTGATTGGGGGAAGAGTTGATTATACTGATGACGGTGATGATGGTGATGATGATTATGATGATGATGATGGTGATGATGATTATGATGATGATGATGATGATGGTGATGATGGTCATGATGATGATGATGATGGTCATGATTATGGTGATGATGGTGGTCTTGATGATGGTGATTATAGGCATAACGCTGATATCAAATTACGGAGAGTGCAGTTTAGGTATAATCAAAGCTTTGAAGAAACAAATCCTTATATTAGAGAGAAAGAGAGATGAAAACTGGACATATTTTTGGATAATAGTTACTCCAAGTCATATAGAAAGAGACACGAGCAAAAGGTTAAAAAGAGGGGGTGGGTTGAAAAAAAAGATATACATTTAAAGGGAAAGACCGTTTGGAAAATTGAAAAAATAGGAGAAAGTTAAAGAATACAAAATACAATGTAGATGGACAGAGAAAAAGAGAGATGAACAGAGAAAGAAAAAAAAGAGAGAGAGAGAGAGACAGAGGCAGATAGATAGAGATAGAGAGAGACAGAGAGAGAGAGAGGGAGAGAGAGCGAGATACACAGGCGGAAAGAGGGAAAAGGGTGAAGGAGATCATGAATGTAAGGATCAACTACGAATGGACAATGTTTGTAAAGTAATCATTATGAATGACTGTATTTCAATAGTCGAAATGCGACTTGCATGTTATCTTAATTAGGACAAACATTATAGCTTAACTTGCCGATCTAGCTTCACGTAATGTATGCAAATTCAGTCTCAATGCGAATTGCATACATTACGTGAAGTTAGGTAGGACAAGATCTTATACCATGTCTATCCTACCTAACAACAACATGTAATTCGCATTCTGACTATTGCAATAATATAATTCGTAACAGGTGACTGAAATATTTTTAACAAGGCACTTAACAAAGATTCGTGCATTAAATTTAATAGCAGTACGAAAACATTTGATTTTAAAGATCGTGAATTTAGCAAGGCCTCAAACGCCGAATGAAGAGACTAATGTTCTTAATGTTATGTATGCAAAGAAGTTGATGACTATGGCAGGCATTTGGTGTCATAAAACATCGACCTTTTTAAAAGTTCAGATATTTTTGTATCGTGTTGACCAATCACAACACTAGAATCACCGCGGCCAGTCTACCACATTACTAGTTTATTTCCTACCGGCACATTTCAAACTAAAAATCACCGATAAATGCTTTCTTTGTCTAAATGTCTACAGTACCCGCACGGACCCTCGTCCCCTGATTTGTCAACGAAAACATTGATGAAAGTGATCGATGATTTAATGCCATCCAACTTTTGCAACCGAATCTTTATGGCACCATACGCCTGCCATAGAGCATTATTCGGATTACCATGGTAATGAAGATGGTTATGATGGAAGAGGTGGTGGTGGTGGTGGTGGAGGTGGAGGAGGAGGAGGAGCAGGAACACCGATTGTAGGACCTCCAGATGATGCATTCCCCGGGGTTAAAAAGGATGGGGGCTGGAACCAGAATCGGCGTTTACAAAATGAGGTTGACAATACAAAATATGAAGCGAAATAGGTGAAATACGATGGATGGACAAAAACAAATGATGAATGTATAATTAATAGATGACAATTTGATGCGATAACGATAGAACAATGAGAGATAGATCAATTGCAATATCTAGCACTTCTTATGGTGAATTTGATTTCAAAATGTCTTGAGAAGCAACTGAGCCCACAACTCAATCGCCTCGTGAGTATGGATTTTGTATTAAACAGCTTTCGCTAAAACAGTTGCTAGATGTTCGCTAACAACACCATCAATGCGTTAACCTTATCAAATTACGAGGTGGTAATCATCTGTTGTCAACAAATATGCTTCTCTCTTGTGTTATGGATTACTGAACTATGCATCCATCATTAACTTCTGATCATTGCTGGGTCAGATGGCCTGAATAAGATTGTCATTATTCTTGACATAACTGAATGGACCGTCGAAACGTATTAACCCAAACACTATACCAACTTCTTTCGAAAAATTAACCTATTGCAATTCTAATAGCCTTGTGCGTCATCTATTGAAATGTGCGAACACAACATTGTCGTATTTTGTGATCCGACCGTAATTTTTGAGGGACAGACAATAGAGTATTGAAATTGCCCTTGCGTTGATTTGTATAAAGTAGTTGCGAGTGTCTTCATAGTGCTATCGTCATAAGAATATTAAAAGATTAATTGTGTTTGTGTGATATTCAAATCATTGGTGTGGTGTAAACCAAGGGAATAACAAATACTTTATGGAAAATATGTTTTGGAAGGAAAATGTTTCATTTTGATCACTATCTTGGGTACAATTATGTAATACACAGATGTTATATAGCAAAGTATGATTTCTTTTAAAGGAAGGAAAAATGCAAATAAAACGTTTAGAACTACTTTGGTGATACGATGTAATTATAATGATTGTAAACAAAAGATCCACATCAAAAAGTAAAAGAAGAAGGGGAAAGGGGGGGGGGGGGGAGAGATAAGGAAGAAATAGAAATAGAAAAAGAATGAGAGTGTGAGAAATAGAAAGATATATATATATATATATATATATTCTAGAAAGAGAGAGAGAGAGAGAGAGAGAGGAAGAGAAAGAGAGAGAGAGAGAGAGAGAGGAAGAGAAAGAGAGAGAGAGAGAGAGCGAGAGAGAGAGCGAGAGAGAGAGTGTGTGTGTGCTTGCAAAAGAGAGAAGAAATTTGCTTAACAGAAACTAAGCAAACGAAATAAAATAAAACCCACCCAGTCTGCAACTCGCAAACCAGATGTTAATGACGTTGTCACACCAGGTACCTTTGCAGTTAAAACTTTGTCAGCCAACGAAGGTTTTCCCTTCACCACAGGAGGGGATTTGATAGAGGGTGCAAGTGAAACCCCTTTGAAACCCAGCTGGGGTACAGGTGGGGGTGGGGGAGGTGCAGGAATGTTTGCTGAAAGTAGTGGTGATGGGTTAGGGACTGTAAGAGAGGAGGGACCTGGAGGCAACTTTGGGGGAACTACATCTGTGGGAGAAATCCCGTTTGTCAATGAATTTGGAACCTTATCCGTCGCTGTTGGTATGGATTTCTTTGCTTTTCCAAACTTTGAGGTAAGGCCTTTCGGAATCGCAATTGACTTTGGCACCGGTATTGAGGATACCCCCTCTGGTAGTTCATCAGATATATTTTCGGATATACCCCCAGATACGGCTGCTTTTGCAGATTTAGCAAGAGTAGACCCCATTGGTCCTGAAACGGTGTCCTGGAGTTCTTCGGGTAGGCCCATCTCCGACATCAGAGCACCACCAACCTTTTTGGCAGCGATCGGGCCTAATTTCTTTGCTATTTTCCCAAATTTTGATTTGAGACCTTTTGGGATTTCGACTGCATCTTGCACCGGTATTGAGGATAGTTCCTCAGGCAATTCATCTGACATGGCTTCAGACAAACCCCCGGATACAGCTGCTTTTGCCGATTTAGCAATCATGGACCCGACTGGTCCTGTAACGGTTTCTTGGAGATCTTCGGGAAGGCCCATCTCGGACATGACAGCCCCACCGATATTTTTTGCAACCAACGGACCCAATTTCTTGCCTGCCTTTTTCAGGAAGCTTGCAGAATTTTTCTTTCCAGAATTTTGTGGAACCGGCAGGTTTCCCTTTGGCTCTTCCGAGAGAGCTTGATCGGTTAAATCTTCGACAACGTTTGGCACGATCTCTAATAAGGAATCTGGAATGGCATCTTGTAAATCCTCTGGTAGTTCTGAGAGAATAGCGCCCTGAACCTGCTCTGCAACAATCGGGGCAAGCTTTTTGGCTGCCTTTTTCAGAAAGCCTACTGCAGCCTTTTTACGCGATTTGGAGACAGAAGCCTGGACGGTTGGAAACCCTTTGGGAAGGTCTGATGCGGCCTGTAACGGAACAGAGGTAATAGCCCCCACGATGTCTGCGTCACCCGGAGACGTATCTGAAAGATCTCCATTTTTAACCCCTGTAATGAGGTCAGAACCTAGCTGTGCATTTGCTTTCTTAAGTAAAGATTTCGAAGGTATATCTCCAGAAGGCACCGGAATATCTTCAGACAAATCCGTAGATATTTCCTGAGGTAATTTTGGTTTAGACAGAGATGGAATCAACTTCTTCAAAGATTTTGAAAATTTGGAACCCGTCAAACTCGTGGGTATTGGCGCAACGGCTACAGATGGCAAGTCTACCTCTAGAGGGTCTAGCGCGGAATGGGAGAAAGACGGTAACTGGCCGCTCAGGTTAGTCACGTCTGACGCACCGGGACCTACAGGCATGCGTTGGCCGAGGGACTGCGTCAATTCGGTAAGAAAGGGATCATTTGGAACTTCAGTTTCAAGTGTGTTAGGGGAAGACCTTAACTCCCAATTAGAGTCGATTGCTAACGTCTTCGGTGCACCAAAAGTTGCAGTGAACGCGGATTGTGTCAGGGATTGTCTAGTACGTTCGGGATCGTTGATTGACGGAGGGGAGGGATGTTTCGCGGATGATTGGGAAGGGGTGTGGTGTGGGATAGGAGGAAGAGGAGGGGGAACTGGAATGAGGGATGGTGCTGGGGGAGGAGGTTGGAGCACACGGTATGCATTCTGTTAGGAGTGGAATAAAATGACAAGTGCGAAATGACAACCATGCATGCAAGGTGAAAGTAAAAACATACCAAACAAACCAAAACAAAACATGCAATACAAAGAGTTTATGAATGATATCAACCATGAATTATGCCTGCAATAAAATGACACAAATATAAATTGCTCATGCAATAAAAGTACATAAAGAATATCCATTACAGTTGAATGCAAAAACCCCACAACAAAACACAAACATGATTACAACCATAAAAACTATGTAATTGGATCATTCATGGGTAAAGATAATTGAACCATATTTACGCCTTTATCGACATTACTGTAAAATTAGTGCCCATATTTTATGATTTTTTTTTAGTAATGCTGTTATTTTTTGTTTGTTTGCAGAACAGAGTAAATGGAGAAGAGCAGCAAGTGTTAGTTCACAATGTGAATACACACCTGCATCCGCGCATACAGATTGTTAAATTTTGAATTTTTTATTTCCCGAAGAATGACAATGTCACAGCTTTGTAGGTTTAGGCATTGGATTTGCTCATAGCAGCTTGGAAACATGTTAATAGCTATCACGCGGTCATATGTCTCAAATTTGAACTCAGTAATACTTTTAAGGAGGTGCAGGGGTTAAGAAGCACTCGAAATATCAAACTCAAGACAGTTACGAGTTTATCACAGCACGCATTAAACTGCATTGCCGATTTACCGAGCTACACGATGATACTGATTCCTGGTCGTATTCTAACCGAATAGATGTGGATGGAAATGAGAATGCCGGCGACATTGGGGGCGAATACTACGTAGAAATGTGTAATGATAAGAAAGATGTATGTTAGCTTTAGTATCGAATTGGCTAATAATAATTGGAACTATAAGAAATTATTGAAAGTGACCTGATGACATCTGTCAACCTATATTCTTTTTACAGGGCTTGAATGCCATAGTCGCCGTGTATACAGTGTATGTTGTGCACGACTCTCAATATATCACAACATTTCTATTTATGGAATAAGGTAAAACATTAAAGTAAAACAATAACACATGAAGTTATTTGATCCAAGCACTGCAATAGCTATAAACTTGATGTTTTCGTTTGGGTATACTGAAACTTTTGATGATGTTTTCGTTTGGGTATACTGAAACTTTTGATGATGTTTTCGTTTGGGTATACTGAAACTTTTGATGATGTTTTTGATTTATAGGATAAAACACCTTAGACTTGCCCTTTATCGGCCCACTCTCTCAACAAGGTCGTCTGTTCAGTATACTGAATGTCAAAATTCCACAGATTAAGCTATATACTTCTGTGCCATTATCCGGAGATAGATTCTGAGACGGTGCATAGATAACGCGGACTGGAAATATATTGCAACCGACGTTTTTCATAATTTTTCACTCCAAATCACTGCAAATTTATTTTGTTTACCTCTTCATACTGCATGCGTACGGGGGTAGGGAGAGGTGGAAATGTCGGCGACTGAGGCATAAACTGCTACCATTCAAAGGGTGTATGCATGGAAGGAAATAACCGAAGCAACCATATCAATATGAAATTGGATGAGTTATCATGGAAAATTATTAGGATATGTAGCTTCATAGCTCAATGACAGTAAATAATATTGAATATAATGAAAGATAATGAAAGGTTAGTGCTTGCTTTTTTTTTTTTTTTTTTTTTTTTTTTTTTTACTATATTTGTAAAATATTTTACTATGCAAGTACAGTTCCCTACACTATTGCTTCTTGCAATTATGATGTTAAATAAATAGTGTTAAATATCCACGAATACAGAGCTAGTTTTGAAAACTCGTTCGTATATGCAGCGGTAAACTGCAGTGTTTCTGTTATTCAACGCGTACAAGTGAAGTAATGCACGCAAAAAGATATCCTACGCGTCCTCACTGATCCCTGCGTTATATGATTCAGAAATGTGAAAGGATTGTACCTACATCATCATAAAAAACAGCGGCTTACCGTGGCGTATCTGAACAAGGCTTTACTAAAGTACTGCTCTATGCTAAGAAATGAATGCGATGCGATAAACAATGGATAGTATAATGAACCAACGGAAAATATTTTGTATAGTGTTAGCAAAAGAAAGCTTTACGATATGATAATGCTTGATATTGTTAATAGATGATAAGTGTCAGGCCTATATAGATTTTAGAGGGTTAAATATTATAAAAGTAAAGCAAAAGTTACCGCTGAATCGTCAAACTCTGGTGGGGGCGGTGGCGGGGGACTTGATGGCGGCGGCGGAATCTGCTTGCAAGAAAAAGAAGGCGATGCATTTTCATAGCTGATAGAAAGAAAGAGTTTCAACGACGGAAGTTGTAGAACAGATGTTGGTTACTGCAAATCAGATATACCATCATCATGTCGGGTTGTAGAAAGAAGAACTATTTTCGGTAAATTTCCACGAAATTCGTTCCACAACCATTGAGTTTTGTTTCGTTAAATTTATTGATACTCTCAAGTGGTATGTGGCATGTCAAACGTATTAAGTTGACTTCAAATGCACAGTATTAAGAAGAATAATATAAATTGTTGATATTTTTGATTTCACAAAACAAATCATGAAATGTGTACATCCATTAATCAAAGTTAAACATTTCTTTGTCTTAAAGGTCACACTTAGTAAAGTAATTTGCATTTTCTTAGTGGCCTGTTGTTTTCTCTGATGAATCCTGAAAAAAAAAAACAAGTTTGACAATTTATCATGTTGGCATCTATTGTACGGAGATACCCTATGGTTTTTAGTCTTTATTTTCCACACTGCCACGGCATTGTTCATGGTATATAATGAAGCAGTGACAGAATGCCATGAGCACTGAAATAAAAAGAGCATTAAGTCAAGTATTTATAAATTGACACAATAAGATATCATCTATTGGTTGAAGCAGGACACACCATGCTGATGAGAGACAGTGAGATAGATAGATGGAGACTAAAACATGATCTTGTTGAAGCCGTACGCCGTAAGTTAAGAAACGCAAAATAAAAAAATGCCCACGATGTCAAAAGAATCTAGGCAGAAACAGCAAGGATTAGCCAACATTTTATGCAGTAAGAAGACTGGTATTGCATCTGCTATGCAACTACATAGCAAAACCCACTGTAAAGGAAAGCTATGTATCTAATTCATGGAAATACATTGAATGTGAAAGCCAGCAAAAGATAAGATGCGAAATATCTTTGTTACCGCTGGCTCAGTATTCTGTGGCCCAGAACCAGATGCGGGTCCTGGTGGTGGTGGTGGTGGTGGTGGTGGTGGTGGTGGTGGTGGTGGCGGCGGTGGTGGCGGCGCTGGTTGTAGTGGTGCGCGCTTCTGCATCAGGGGGGCGGGGGAGATGGAGTAGATTCTTTAAATTACAAGGGTATCCTAATCTTTGTGTCACTAAAAGATTTTCTCTCAGTCAGTAAAAGTTCAGTTGATTCATCGTTTCCGAGGAGATTCTTTGATCAGACTGATCCCTTGTTCAATATATCAGTACTATGCTTTATCAGCTTTTTAATTAGCGGAGTCTTCCGTTATCAAGTTTAAAGCTTAAATTGTATACACTTAGACGTGATTAATTTTTTTTTTTTTTTTTTTTTTTTTGGGGGGGGGGGGGGGGGTTCGAGTGTGGGCTAATAGTGAAGAGAAAGTTAGTCAATACATACTGCTTCGTCGTCATAATCGGGCTCGGGTATTTCTGGTGTCGTCATCTGCTCTCCAGGTCCGTTTGGCGTCTCCACGGCAGGCACCATAGGCTCGCTAGGTGTCTCAGGAATCGCAGAAGGATTCGAATCGGGAACCTGCTGGGGAACCTCCTCCTCCGACATGTCGATCTCTATCATCCCGTTCATGTTCGGATCGACGGGGGCCACATTACCGTTTTCGATGTCGCGCGGGACTTCGTTGACGAAGGACGTGTTTTCGATACCGTTCTTCTTCTCGTGACCATTCATGGGAGGCGTGGTCATAGGGAGTAGGTAAGAATCGCCACCGGAACCAGGAGCGCCATCTGCGATATCCCTGTAAAATATAAACATAACAATGTAGGCCTACTTTAAAACATCAATTACAATCCATAATTTTTTTGTGATGGGTTTGTAGTAGCATTAGCACCATATTAATTGCACATGGAGGTGGTTGGAGTATGTAGAAGTTAATCATGTTATTCACGCGGTGTAATGTTACCAATGTATGCAAAGAAACAAGAAGGGGCCTCGTCAATAAACAAGTACATTTGACTATCATCATCATCAGCATCATCTTCATTATCATCATTGTCATCACTGTAACAATTTCTACATTTCTACCTCCAACATCATCGCCACCATAAACACTATTATCACCACCATTAAATTCATCGTTATCATCATATTAATCATCATCATTATCATCACTTTTATTATTCATATGACTTAAAACACCACCATTTAGAGTATCAACACCATCATGGCCATCAAAATCATCCTCATCGTCATCATCATAACCATTGTTGTCATCATTATCAACTTCATCCTCATCATAACTGTCATCATCATCGTCATCATCATGGTTATGGCGTTACCTTTCTGCCTTGGCATGCTTGGAACTGCCGCCGCACAACACGTAGCAACATAAACTAAAGATCACCAGTAAGAATAGGGTTCCAACACCAACAAGTACTGTATAAAAGAGAGAAACAATGATGACATTGACTCCTTTGCACATCAAATATCAATTGCTGAACCACGATTCGTGTTAGGACGGCAGTAACTTTATCGCAAAAATCGAGGAAATAGAAATATTATTACTTCATAACGAGCATTGTGTTAACTTACGCAATAATAACTGTAAACATTTGGTTATAAAATATGAGTTTATGAAAATAAAAGACCTTTCATAATTATAATATCTCGTTGGTTAAAAACCAGACGGGCGTTAACTTCTACGTTAAAGTATAGGGGTTAATGCCCCTTCTAGCTCCAAGTGGACGATCTGCTAGTTGATATCATTCGTAATATTAACCCCCCAAAAAATCTAAAAAATCGAGGTTATTTATTCTTAGTAAAAATAAGCAGAGAAATACTTCAAGATGATCATCAGTAGTAAATTATACTTTATCAGATTTTTGAATAACTAAAACGTGGATTTAATCAAGCGATTTGTGAAAATGCTGTTAAAACATCCATTCTGAAATTGAAAACAAATTGGCGCCCTTATTGAAAAATTTAAGGCCGGAGCTATTATATTCTACTTCAAATATACTACATATTTTGGTACATGTAGTTTGTAAACAGTGATCGAAGTTTATAGGTCCACCAAGTTTTCCACAACAGTATTATTACGAAAGTGTAAAAATGCCTATTAATGAAAATACAACTGAAAATAAAACAAGACTACAGACGAAAGTCGCCAATGAATAATAATGACTCTTAAGTGGAGGTTTCAACTACCGGTAACACATAAATCTTTTTAAATACCACTTAGATATTTGTTTAAATACCGAATAGTTATGAAAGGCATAATAGGCTACTTACGTATGACAAATTGGGTGAAAGTAAGTCCATCGAACAACTCTGTAAAGGAGAAAATATGAATAAAGAAAGAGAGAAGAAGAAAGATAAACATGATGAATGCACAAGAAATATCTTCGGGAAATAACAGAGGAAAGGCTATTTTACTCCCCCTCTCTCTCTCTCTCTCTCTCTCTCTCTTTCTCTCTCCCTCTCACGCAAATACCTTTCAAACGACTTCCTTCTCCTCTCCATCTGCCCCCCCTTCGCTTTTTTTTTACTTTAAATCTGTAATGGATGTTATTATATATATAGCATAACAATAATGAGAACGGCCTACGATTATAATACACAACGTGACAAGTAGATAATGACAAACTAATCATGATGTCGTTTTCCCTTTATGAATTATTTAAGGATACTCTAAATCATCACTCCTATTAATTGATAGATAGATAAGGCGCGACGGAATTTTTTCCTTTAGTTTTATAATTAGAAGGAAAAAAAACCCGTTCCATTTTTTCCTGGTTTAGCACTTTAATGTTTGCTATAGGATAAATATAGCTTATCTTCAATTATCATGTGCTCAGTACTCCGTACAATGACTGCTTTTATTTTGCAAAATTAAATTCGTTGGCGCGAATTAATAACATCAATCGATCAAATATGTATAGGCGAATTACAATGATTACAGGACGGCTATGTCCATGTGAATAGCGTGTTCGTGGATTACAAAATTGCAAACTACTGTATAGCATCCTGTCTTCTCTAGGTTTCCATTGCACACCGGTTTTGGTATTTTTGTCTCATTTCGTCTCTTTTTCTACCTATCTCCACTCCCCCTCTCTCCTTTCTACCTCTCTTTCTTCTATCTTAGTGCCCCTTCCTTACTTTCCCCCTTTTCCCCCTCCAAAAATATTTTATTTTTGATAGTAATTAATATACGTCTTTTCGCTACATCAAATACACATATCTCATTTTGGGTTTTTCTTAACCATCTTCATGACTACTGAGTATACATAAAAGATTAGATAAATCTCCCAACACTCATCGAGTTTCTCATAAAATATTAAGCGAAAATAGAGTTAAAAGAAGGTCAAAAAAGGAAAAGCAGGCAACTTCTTGTGAGAGAGGAAGAGATAATCTGTTATTGCACATGACTAGGTTCAAAACTAAAGGAGAATGAAAGCATTATTGAAAAATAAAGCACTACAAAGCAGGAACTAATAATTATGCGCAGTAGGCTCTGTTTTGTCACATGAACATGAAAATGCACATCAAATTAACTGGAATCCTAACCAAACATTCAAGCTTCATCTCTGGACCTCATCAGGGTTTAATTATTGCCTACAAATTACGCGTTTGCAAGCAGACAGAAGAAGAGTCTAATATTCTGAGAATGAAATGTTAATAACATTTTCCTGCAAAAAACTCCTGTAGGGTTAGAAGTACGTGTCATGATGTCATCCCTTGAATCTGCAATTTTTGAAAATGATATTGTGAATTAATTCGGGTTTTCACTCACTGTTGCACTGAATCGGATTCGTGAAGGTCCCGTTGGCCTGGCATACCGCTCTGTCGAAAGCAGCTGCGAAGCCAGCATCGCAAGTTATAGTGATTTGATCGTTGACGAACGCCGAAGTTCCTGCTGGTGCAATCGCGCCGTTGGACAACCTGGGGTATATACATTGCCGGTCTGTGAGGGATAGACAGCGAGTAATTCCGTTTGGTGATAAAGATGGTAGTGGTGGTGTTGGGGTTAAACCCAAGACATTTACATGACGATTATTATCGAACCGTGTGCGAATTAATAACATAAAGCGTCGTGTTATCGTGGTATAACTGCAGTGGTAAGGTCTTATAAGAGTGCTCTTAAAACATTTATTAAAAAAAATCACTTGGTGATAGAATAATCCATAACATGAGGTATATATTAATCAACCCTCAATGGCATACCAGGTGAACTGCATATATTACAAATGAAGATGCCATTTCATTTCAAGCATCTCGGAAAAGATCTTTGGGCGAGTTTGAAGATATTGGAGAATTATAGGATGTGGATCACGTATCTCACCCTCGATTGTAATCTTCCAAGAATACACCCTGTTTGAAACAATGACCTCTGATGAGTTTGTCACCTCCAAGTTCATCCCATAATGCAGTTCTGGATAATTTCCTAGGTTTGAGAAACTATGAACCTCATGCTCTGTGGCCTCAGATGCACTTTCCGAGTAAACCAGCGGCGACAGGTCATCCGAGGAAAAGCCAACAAAGTCCCCTTGGGCGAAACCCAAAGATCGCGGCAACAAGGCGGACACAAAGGTGACACTTCTTGCGGGGGTCAACTGCGTCATGTCGATGAGCTGCAGTGCATTACCGGATGCGCGTCGCCATAATGTGACATTGATTTGATTGGTTGTTGCAGCGTAGAAGGAAATACGCGTGATGGCTCCGTGACATGGTAATGGTCGGCCCGTGTTGATAACGAGAAGATCGGAGACGTCTCGGCTGAGCTGGCGTTCGATATCACCGACGCTCTCCGGACAGGTGCCGTTTGAAGCTGGGGGAACAGTAGCAGAAGATACGTGAAACATGTGTTTTGGAGGATTGCTCAGATGTTGTGAAACACTTTTGGTGACTATACATGATATAAACCTTTAACGATTTTCTTTTTAAAATGTTGGCATTTGTTAGTGGTTTGTGAAAGATAGAGGATAGAGTTGTTTTGTCAGCCTCAGAGATGGAGTGCAAGGGGGGAGGGGGGGGGGGGGGTGGCATTTCTAGAACGATTTGAATAAGGTGTATGTTAGGTCAGATGATGGCGTCGGTGACTTATACCTCCCCCCCCCTACCAAAAAAATCTCCAATATTTTCGGGTTATTTTCCGGTTATTTTCAAACATCGGCTGAGCCAATTTGTTTTCGAAATTAGATGACTGCAATGTTAGATTTACAAACAATAATTATAATTAGTTGTTATTGTTATTAATAGTATCATTATTATAGTCGTGCAGGGTGAATCAATAACCTCAACTGATATGGTTAGTAAGGTATTAAACTGCATGGTTTAAGATCATCAAAAGAAATCAATCTTGAAGTAAAACACAGAACATATATTCAGATACATGCATGATTCAGTTGTCCTTGGAAACATACTCTTTAAAAATAATTTGCTGATGGAGGTGCAAGATGATATGGTTATAATTATGTAGTATGAAGGGGTCATTAAGATACCTTAATTCCATGTCAACTTATATACCGTGTATATCGTTAAATATCTTTAAAAATGCCTGATTCACTTCATGTAATTTACACGTTTAGGAAAGAAAATAATAAATACAAAATGACATCGACCGGTATGAATTGGTGATTTTATAGATGATAAATGTCAGACTAGTGACAATGGAATTATGTAAACACGTCTTGGATACAATCTCCAAACTTCATCAATATACTTTTCGTAATGAAGCCATTTTTGAGGGCTCCAGTGGACTTTTATACTGAGGAGGGTGCGCTTAGAAACATCAGTATTAAGCGCCTAATAAATGTTATGTATTATTATTATTATTATTATTATAACTGGCTTATTTTGGGGAAGAAAAAGTTATTTCTTTTGAGAATACTTTGCGCGTTGTCAGTATTGACTGACAATGATATTACCTGGTTAGAAACCTATCAGAAGGGGCAAATTGCTCCCCTTTTTCCTCCTGCAAATACGCTAGGGATGGTGCACTGTACTTTACGGAATGGATGACTATGATAAGGACTCGTAATATTTTGTCTACAGATCCATGAACTTTGTTCTAGAATTTGTAAATTGACACCGTATAAAACATGTTGCTGAGGTTTCATTACTGATCTGACAGTTTGGGAAGGTTGGTTTGAAGACCTGCCCTTTTGGTGAACTCTCAAATATTATTAATTAATATTATCAAACAGTTCATCTTACTTGCTATTCTTTTGGTAGTGATGATCGGTGAACAGGACTCATTTAGCAAGCAATGGACGATATAAAGTGATATATATGAAAGTACGGTTTGTTTAATGTGATTAAAGAGCTTGAGAGAATGATAACGCATCAAAATAATTTTGCAACAACGAAAGGCAAATCTAGCAAAGCAATTTAGCCTAATTTCTGTATTTGCTTAAGTAGCAAATTAAAAGTTTAAAGCAACATGATTTGACTGTACCTGGAGTTGCCATTTCATCCGCGGTGGTAGCTTGTCGCATCGTTGTCACCACTGGTTGTGGTGGAGGTTGTGACGGGGTACCACCTTGAGTTACTGGGTCTGTCGCTGTCGAATCAGAAGTGGTGGTATCAAGGCTCGGTGGTGTTGTTGCTACAACATCGCTTGTTGCTGGTGGTTGTATGGTCGTTGTATCCTGCGCAGTTGACTGGGCTGGCAAAACAGTTGTTGCCGCGCTTATAATATAGACTGTAGTAGTAGACAAAACAGCATTTACAACAACAAAACTAATCATAATGATGATAATAGTAATGTCGATGATAGAAATAATGGTAATGATAATTATAATTCTACTAATACTAATGATAATACTAAAAATATTTCGTGGAACATGAACATTATTTCAAACCTAGGAATTCATTTTTATTGACTTCTTGAGCTGATGAGGTAAAGGAGACATTTCGATGGAAATATCTTTGATAATACTGAGTCTGTTTTAATCGGCACAGTCTATTCTTCTGAATATTCAACAACAATGACCCTTAACGGCTGCATAATTGCATAAAATCGAGTAATTCGTCGTCAATTTCCCTACTCTATATTATGATTACAACAAGCTCTTACCGATGGGAAAGAAAGAAGGGCAATTCCATGCTTGTACTTTCCCCGACCATAGCAAAAATGTCATTATATCTCAAAATAGCATTATGTTCGGAGCCTAGCTATTAGAGCTTAGATGAAGCTAAACGATACATAATATCATTTCATCTACATAACTTATAAATGCTGGGTAACGTATTTGGCAGATACATTAAACGTATCTCTCAAACAATAATCGTTCATTACGTATATCTAGGCATAGTTATTCCGGGGAGGGGTTACGGAGATGTTGACGACAACCATGAACACAGATGTTCTTTTAACGTGTTTCGGACCCGGTACGGGAATGAGGCTACGCCACTTTTGCCCTACATTGGATACGCCACTGCTTCAATAAAAAAGACAGCTTCAACACTCGATACCAGTTTTGACCCTTCCCCGGGCCCTTCCCCCATTCCATGTTAAATGTTTTTTCCTCTCAAACTTACCATCGTAGTTCAGAATGAACCCGTTTCCTGAAGACGGACTCTCAAACCAAACCGTAAAAGACGAGATCGGATCAGTTATCCATGTTCTCCGTGAGGTGAATGTCTCGTTCATGCCCCCAGCAGAGATCGTGATGATGTTACCGGAATTGATATCAAACGCGGGGAAGGTGATCTGGACTCGTTCCGTAGAACCCAGTGTTACTGTCCACTCCTGGCGTTCATTGGACATGTACACACCTGGGTAGTTGAATGACGTCAGTGAACCACTGGCACCGGTCAGGGTGAAACCTTCGGACCCAAGACGAGCTGAAAACAAGAATTAAATAACACTTATTTTGTGTTATTAAGCTTGGGTAGTCACAGTAATATTAATACTGCTCCTCTTATGCCCCCAAAAAGAAACAGAAGGAATTTGTCATTTACTTTATTTTCAGTGTTCGTCATAGATATTTCTGACTTGTGCCCCATCCTGCCAGATAAACATTGATCCGCCACTAATAATATCCAATTATTAATTATTAACTGTTTAATGTTTTTCTGGAGGAAACCGCCCTGTGGTTCGAACTCAATGATTTCGTTCAAGTGGGATCCTTTTATGGTACAAAGTAAATTATACTGCAATAATTTTGTGAACCTGTTCGATTCTTCACTTGAGTAAATGGCCTGGTAGTTTGAACTTAATAATTTTGTTCAAGGTTGTCTTCTTGACTTATGGTACAAAGTAAATTATGCTGACATATTTTGGTGGAATTGTTCGATTCTTACTTGAGTAAACCGCCCGATAGTCTCCCGTTCCGCCACACAGCTGGTATGGATCGTTCCCACACACTTCAGCGCAGAGCGAGTCGTCGACGAGGGTACCAAACTCCGACAAATCGTTTCCACAGCGATTCTTGTCCCCACTCACTTGTGAAGAGCCAGCATAGGCGTACTGAAACACCCTGCATATTTCAACGAAACCATGTAGCGTTTGGGAATTGTCCGTATAACCCACAGGCGTTGAGCTCTCGTAGCAGCCTTCGTAGTAGGGCACTGAAAGGGAAAGAATGCATGTATTCTTAACAATATGTATTTGTATAATTATAGAACGACAGCCTGTCTCTATACACTATGTAAATATAAATCCTTTTAATGTGTTATTGACATGGTTATTGCCTTAATCAAAAAGTTATCTAAATTATTTTAGACAGTTTCAATACTGGAATCCTATTGTATACTGTATTTTACAACTGTTTAAAAAAAAAAAAAAAAATCAAGTGTAAACTCTTATTTTTTAAACTAAAAACCATATTTTCTACTTTTTTTCTTCGATCATTTTCCCCCACGTTTTTCTTTGTTTTCTTCTCCTTCCTATTTTTTCTTTTTTCTCTTCAGAGTCTTATTTTTCTTTGCATTCCTTTTACTATATCAATTGAATTACTGAATGTATTTACTTCTTATTTGCCTGTTTTATACTGTACTATTTGCATGTATTTTATATTTTGCAGTCTTATTAGTATTAAAATTCAAGATGCATTAGCTTCTAGCTGTGACTTTGAATTTGTATCAATAAATCTTATCTTATCAATTCAATAATGTCCGTCGTACCAACACTGTTGATTATTTACATGTAGCTAATCAATTCAATCATTTATCGTGTGACTCAATATGTCTTCCTCTTCTAGACTGTCACCTCTCTGACTCTATCTGGCCTTTTCATTTCTCCCCTTTTCTACATCTGTCTCTCCCCTTTCCTTACTTCTCTCCTTTCTTTCTTTCTTTCTTTCTCTTCTCTTTCGCCCTCTCATTCATGTCATGACGTTTGTGTAGATTTGTATCAAAAGCCTGAACCCTCGAAAAAGTTGTCAGAGGGCACAGGAGGGGGCTGTACCGGCTGTTGGTCTCGTGGGCTGTAATATCACATGCATCGTAGACATGGTAGATATTGATACGCAGTTGGGACCATATACACATCATTTGGTCCGAACATTCCATATACTTGTTATCATAGTTCGGAAATGACGGCATTTGACTACAGCACGTTGGCTAACTGCAAAGGGACATTACCGCCATGTACAGTCAATGGACGATGAGGCTACAAATCGTCCATTGAACATGTTTAATGTGTCATATCTATTCTTCCACTCTGATATTCTTCCAAACTGACATGAAATCAAAGAGGAAACTCACAATTATTTTTTAAGTATACAATAAGTAGTCCCCGGGAGTTGTAATCCTAGTAAAGAGTAATCTAAAATTTATGTTAATTCTTACGTGCGCAGAACACAGCAGCCGGTTTGTTTGAGAGACAAGTGCCCCCAGACCACGTGACATCGGGGCAACTGGCGATGTTGGTCTCATCGCCTACGCAGTTGGCGTTGAAAAGGACGATGTCGAGGGATGCTCCTGACGCAAAGCTGAAGTCATCCACCGCACCGACCTTGAGAGCACCATCTCGAAACCCTGCAAGAGAGAGAGAGAGAGCTCAAGTCATGGCTTTGTATTTACTTTTTGCTGGCGACTAATAGAAGACGTGTAAGAGGTATGCTGAGATAGACATATAGCTAGCTAGTCAGATAGATACATAAATGTCATATATATATATATATATACATTTTATATACGTAGAAAGAGAGAGAGAGAGACAGAGAGAGAGAGAGAGAGAGAGAGGAGAGAGAGAGAGAGAGAGAGAGATGGTGGAGAAGGGTGGAGAGCAGGAGGGAGATATGGACATAATGTAGATTCTAAATGACGTATTGTATCTGCTTTTGAGAGGTGGCAAAGAAGAGAGAGAAAGAGAAAGGAAGAGAGAGAAAGAGGAAGAGAGAGAGAGAGAAAGAGAAAGGGAGAGATAGAAGGAGCGAGGAATAGTGTAGGTGTTAAACTACTAAGTATTGTATGTGCTTTTATCGGGGAGCAAAGAAAGAGAGAGGGAGAGAGAGAGATGAGGGGGGGGGGGGGGTGGAGAAGGATTGATTGTAGGCCATCAAGAAAGGCGTTTTTTTTTTTGGGGGGGGGGACTGGAGAAACAAACTCTTTGGGAATCGCCATGACTACTACGTGTGAACATTAAGCGATGGCTCAGTGGTAGAGGAGTGGCCTCGCGACCGGGAGTTTCCGGGTTCGAAATCATATCGATGCACTCTTGCCCTCCGGTAAGGCATTACCTTTCATTACCGAGTCCATTGTAGAGGACTTAAAGCCTTTGGTCCCCTGGCTGCTTACTTCCAACCATACACATATTTTGTTTTAATGTTTTATAGCAGTCAAGTAACACAAACCAACAAACCAAATCAAACCAAATCAAACCAAATCAAAAAAAAAAAAAAACAATAACGGCGAAATCTTTCTTACCGAGTTGTTTGCAGACGACGTCAGCATTTTCGATGTCGAATCCGTCAATGCAGACGGTCCCGTATATCTTGTTGTACTCTACCTCGACTCGACCGGAATTCGCTGCACCACCCCGCAGCTTTACATCTCCATCTGTAATTATAATAGATATTTATTTATTCATGGTTCATTCCATTTTGCAAGAAGCAGCCGTTGGCTGAAATGCTCACAATGTACAAATGCATGTAAATACATATGAATACACGTTCAATATAACTAAATGTACAATAAAATATAAATTTAACAATGAGATGAGAAATTCCATTAAATAATAAAATTATACTGATGAACGGACAAAATTTTACAATAAGAACATAATCCATGGAGAGAAACAAGTAGTTCACCGGCTTCTTATTTTTAGAGCGCCCACATAGCCCTCATGCTATGTACTCGTTTCGCTTCAACATTATTAGGGACATTTAGATTTGCACGTCGACATAGTGGACTGCTACGTGTGACGTCCTGTTAAGGCAGTGGCAGTCCACTATGTCGACGTGCAAATCTAAAAGTCCCTATTACCCGGATGTGGGTGAGCGGCCAAAGTAATAATATCAAGTACCCAATTACAATCGTAGGACAATCGTAGATTAATGAGTTTCAAAAGGCCATTGTATTCACAATATCCAGGATGAATAATGTTGCTAATTAATTGATATTTCCTTTTGCATAGCATAATACCCATGCTTTAAATAATTGTAATGTTATACGAGACGTATGCTGTATCGGGCAATAACTTGTAAATATATGAGTTTGTTTTGAAAATAAATGGTAATTGTAAATACATACCGGTTTCTAGTCTACGCTATCAAAACATAAAAGGACTACGAACAACGATGTGTAATAATGTGGGTAGTTTTGAAATATGTGTTATGTTTGGATGGGGTAATATTCAAATTATAACAATCGTGACAATAGGAAGATTAAAGATGTGGTAACTGATTAAAAAAGGATGTAACACACTAAAAAGGAAGTGAACCAGTTTCGAGTCCATGGTTCTGTATTAATTGTAGGCATACATCTATATCTAAAGCAGACCATCTAATTCAAGACATTTTCTTGTATCTTTGCTACCTCTTATGACCCACTTTTATCTGTTTATCTCCCTGTCTCATCTCCTCTTCTAGTCCTGTAGAAGTTTTTCAGACCTGGAAAAGTTGATATTAAAGTACATTTTTTTATTTATTTATTTATTTATTTATTTATTATTTTTTTTTTTTTTGGGGGGGGGGGGGGTTGTGTTCCAGATGGGTATTTAAGTAAATTCAGCTTGGTTGCCAGCTTGGCAACCTTGGGCAACTTTTTTAATAGCCATATTTGCATAATAATCTAATTAGCATATGTGCAATATGAAATAATATTGCTAATCTCAATCCAGGAAGCCTGAAACCATGGTTAGTACGACTTTTAAAGGGTTTTCTATGACGAGGAATTCATTTATGACACCAGTTTTTGATTCAAAGTAATGCAATTGTTTTTAATATGTATGGACTTCATTGTCATTGTTTATGTATATAAAGCCTGAAAATGGTGCAATGCAACATTGCAAATCAATTTTGAACGACTAATCATTAATTCATGAGAAGATATTCCATGTATATGTAGTATAATTAGGATATTTAGCATAATAATCTAGTAAGCATATATGTGCAATATGTAATAATGTTGCTTATCTTAATCCAGGAAGCCTGAAAACATGGATAATATGAATTTTCAAGGATTTTCCATGACGAGGAACTTTCAAACTTTCAAAAATGATTTGACATGTTGCAATGCTCCATTTTTAGGCTTTATATAGATAAACAACGACTGTGAAGTCCATACATTGTACATATGCTAATTATGCTATTTAAGACAATTGCATTACTTGGAATAAAAAACTTGTGTCATAAATGAATTCCTCGTAATAGAGAACCCTTGAAAAGTCGTATTATCCATGTGTTTAGGCTTCCTGGATTGAGATTAGCAACAATATTACATATTTCACATATGCTAATTAGATGATTATGCAAATATGGCTATTTAAAAAGTTGCCCAAGGTTGCCAAGCTGGCAACTAAGCTGAATTTACTTCAATACCCATCTAGAACACAAATCAACAAAAAACTTTGTACTTTTCCAGGTCATGTACATGGTATATGGTACCGTCTACTGGACTATTCCTGTGTCCATCCGTCTCGACATCCCTCTCTGTCTCGGTGTCTAATAAAGCCTACCTCTCTATCATGTCCATATTTAAAGTCCACCTACGGTTTTTAATTTAGGTACAAGTTTAATTTTGTTTTCCATTAAAATCACACAATCCTCTGGTATCAATGGACTTGAGATCGCACAAGTTATGTGTCGCAATTGCATACAAATCATCGAAAGGTACAAAGTGGTCAGTCAGCCATAATTTGTGAGAACCGAGAACAGGCACATTTTTCGAAAACAGGGAATAAAAAAAAAATACTGTGGATATGTTTAAAAAAAAATATTTGTCAATTACAAATGGTCAAACATAAATAACATCCCATAAAACGTAAAGCAATTAAAACAATTCAGCTTTTAGTGATGAGGAAGAATACATATACATATATGTCTGAGAGAGACATGACTTGTGTTTGACTGTTAGGATCAGATTACCACATGCTGTTAATTAAATCTGATGCACAGCAGCAATTTGATACAATGACTTAAATAATATCGTTTATACCTTGGTGAAAGAGCTGTTAATTGCTCGTTCAGTCTCATAACTGAACTGAATGGGTTAACCCAGTCAATGCTGGCAATTGATTTGTGAAACTAAACAACCTTTTCAGCTAAGAAATCCATTTTATATCCAGTTTACTACCGGATACTGCTAATTACTCCCTACAATTCTACAATAATGCATTCACAACTATATCATGGTGATTTGGAAATTAAGGAGTACCCAAAATGATTGGCTGACATTTAACACCATCAGCAGTATTCATACGCGGACAGGTTGAATACAGTGTCTGGTATAGTCAGGTACATTAGCAAAGCCAAACACCGTTTCATGGAGTGGCAACTGACTTTAATTTAACAGATCTTATAAACAACATTTGTATTCCGGGGAGGGGGGGGGGGGGGGGGAGAAGATATATATATAACTAGCAGAAAAGTTCTTGTATATTTGAAAGAAAGGTGAGGTCTATTAAAGTTCGAAATGATTGGTGAACATTCTCTCTATAATTCCTTTGCGAAAGAATATAATTGTAGCAATATCACAAGAAAATCAGTGCTCTTAAAATGCCCTCATTTAATATCCCAAAACAAATATAATACTTTAAAATTTTGAAGCAGATTTCAGAGTATGTTGTCCCAGGTTTCAGAGTATGGTTTGCAGTTTGCCTATATACCCATACAGTGATTTTTTTCTCTGATTATGAATTTCAGTAAGACTATTACAAACCTCACCATGCTCACAATACATACCTATTCTTACATACTGAAGAATGAACCTTTCCTTCATTTCTAGACAGTTTCTCACACAATGGAATCACATGACCAGCCCACTACCATGCCAAGTTGCGTGTCACTTTTTATTACCCTATGTCACGTTATTAAACTATCGTTACGTGTTTCTGCATGCATTTTTTGGTTTCTATCTGTAAAAAAATGCATAGTTCAGATTAACGGCTGCGAGACAGATTTTCAATAAAACTACATACCTTTACGTACGTCCTTGTTCATTCAAGTGTTTTTATTGTCGTCATTTTAGTACGCCAAAGTAGGTCAAAATAATGGGGAAACGGAAATACAAACGCGTGCTTGATATATATATATATATATATACATCCTATTTACAGACGCAATTCATTTCCAGTTCAATTCAATTTCGGTGTTATCGTTAAAAAAAAGAACATGGCAATAGTCCGGAGACTAATATTGTCACATTAAAGTAATATACAAAAAAAACATGAAAACAGGTTATAAATATTATTGTACCTTTACATATAGGCCTCGTAGTTTAATAACAACTAACAAGAAGAACGTGCCTTCTTTCCTATTGCAACGTCTCATGCAGCACGGAACGAGCAAAATTGAACTTTGAAACCTCAACACTTTTAATAAACAACTGACATACACGAACAATTCGCTCGCTTTATTATTTATATTTACCCTTGAAGGTTTTTTTGTATCTATACAAAGAATAGATCCATTCTTTATACGTCACGGAATATGTATACAGAGATTTTCACTAAAAAAATGCACGGCTTTCAGGCAGCTTCACAAACTTTGGAAGAAATGAAATTCCTGACGTTTCATCATGCGGTGAAAACAGGCATTTAATGAAAATACATGTAAGTACAATCATGCTACGCTACGCTATGGAATTGGAATTTAGTACTTGTACGAAGGAGTAGCTTGTTTGTCAATTGTTAAATACCACACGAAAATACAGTCTCATGTATTACCCTACATTGAAGGAAAAGTTATGAAAGTAATATTTGTGATATTAGGGCATGTCTATAGACTTTCTTTGTAGGTTACATTGCTACTATGAAAACATAATGCGAAAGCGTACAGACTAGTCCATTAAAGTTAAGCCTGTTGGACACGGGGCGTCATTTTGCACGTGTTATTATATGGTTAATCGACTCTGTAAAGGCAGTGGTAAGGGAATTCGCCCTGTTTATTTCACAATCACTTTGTGTTCGACGTAACACGGCGCCTCTAGAGAACCACACAAGTCAATGACGTAGCTGGTTACTTCAGGTAATCGAAATGGGCTTTACCAGAATAAAAAAATATCTTATCTCAAACTACAGTAGTCGATTCTTGTTCAACGTCCCTCTGACAAGTCTTTTCATCCTCTCATTCTCTTCCTTTACCCCTTCTCGTACATTATGTTTTTGATGTCTTGGTTTTCTTTTTGTTTTGTCTTGTTTTTTGATGAGTTTCCCATTTGCTCATCTGATGTTTGTTCATCTTGGTGCACTTTGAGAAATCAGGCTGAAAAAACGCCGCCCTCGTACCAGTGGTCATCGCTGGAGGAGCAAGAGTAAAATAATTTCACAAACGGTTTTGGGGGAGCCTTCAAGGGGAAAACGCACGTTGGGTCGCCCATCAACGAGTTACATAGATCAG